ATCAACACATCATGTCCCCATTATTATCATTATTGATGACCCTATACTTCATGAGCCCCTGACAAAAATAGACTTCTTTCAAAACATAGTATTACCATGACTAAAGTTATTAAGAACAAAGGGAGTGGGTTTCTTGTTCAAGCAAATAATAAAGACTCTAGAATCTTTGTTAAAAAGTTGCTTTAAATTAATCCAGTATTTGTTTCCAATTGAATGTTTCTTATAAGAAAATGAAATGAAACAAAATGGGGTTTAATATCCTACGTACTGTTCTGCTCCAACTGGGATAATGGAGACGGACATACGCTATACAGTGTGCTAAGATGGCAATAATGCCCTGGCAAAGGCACTATGGCCTACTCTTATATCGAATTCAAACTGACAAGGGATCTTTTAAGTGCACACCAATGTATACACGGGACCTTGTTGGTTTTTTTTTTGTCCCATCTGCAAGATTAGACAGCTGTCCTTGTCAGGCTCTCCATCCTGCATCACTGACAACGGAAAATCACGCTGGAAAATCTGCATGAACTTTCGGCAAATGCAAGGATTGAACACTTTTTTTTATAAGGTATTTGTCGGCAATTTGTTGCCTACTTAAATGCCTTCATATACAAGAATAAAGTCTGAAAATAGACCCTACACAAATACATTTATTTAAAACCACTTTGTTCCACTTCGATCAACTTCAACTTTGGGTTGTTTTAAGTTTACATTGGTTTTCCTAGTGATTTCACAATGCCATCTATGATCTTTATATGTATCTCTTGTACAAAAATATAGTAATAATAATTTCATACAAGTCAAACATTCAAAGGATCTGGTTTGTACTTTTAAAAAACATGATAAAAGATAGGTTGTCAGCTGACAAAATATACTGTCCATTATGATTCTTTTGTAGGTAACTACACAAGCAGAACATTTTCAGGACACTAACAAGTGATAAAGGGTAACAACTATGAAGTAATATCGGAAATTAAATCCTTTGAATTAGATTGGCTTATCCTAATCCTAACACAAAACATCATGTACATGTAAATTTCAAGTCAAGGGAGATAACTTTAGCCACAAGAGAGCATGAACATCAAAATTATCAAGGGCATAAGGTCATTATCAGAATTAAATAAATATCAACAGGCTTATTTCTCTCACTAACATAAAATGTCAAGTCCACTAATTTGTTTCATGAATATGTATGTAAACACAACAAATTTACCCTCTAGATCATACACGTGGCATTATGAATGATAGGGGGATGGACAGAGAGGGGTACATATAATGTACAACAACTCTTAAAAACTCTTAGGAAAGCCAGAGTAGCTATGGACATGTGAGTGATGTGACAGTTTCAAATAGACTGGGAATATCACTCAAGACAACATGTAATGTGGCTTGCAAAATAACTTTAGTTCATGAAAAGAAAATACACCTTGTTTATGAAATGATCAGTAAATCCCCAGATGTTCAATATAATTTTTTATGAAATTTTATCAATATATATTAAACGACTGGAAACCAGCTTGTGTCAAGTACATGTAAATATATGATTAAAACCATGATTTCCAGACTAGTCCTGTGCAACACACCTGAGATATGACCAAGTTTTTTTTTAATGTCTGTAATGTCTTAAAAATATGATAACTTAATACTATTATGACTATCAAACATACATGTAAGCAGGGCTGCCGACAACCAGTATCGCAGCGCAATTTGCGATACATATTTTGTCCGTTGCTAATCAAAAATTAAAATCTAAAGTTTTTGATTCGCACTAACTGCGAATCATTAATATGCCTGTCATTTTGGATATTGACACAAGGATAATCCACATTTGAAGACTAGAAAGCTTTCTCAACATTTCAACAAGTATAAAATGTTGAATAAAATTTTATAAACAAAACTGAATTCTCCGTGTGACATTATCTTCTCGAACTACCCAGACACAATTCATTATACGGTACTATATAATACAGGGACATAACGCTATGAATAGGGACTATTAAACCGGAAACAGGGAATCAAGTAGTACCACTCACGTTGCGAGACATCAAGTAATTATATGATATTTTGAAAGAAATAAATCCAGTATATCCTCTACGTATTGTAAATAAAATATAAAAAAATAAATGTTAACGTATTGTAAAATGATAAATCAAAGTAAAAATTCCCGTAAAATATCACGTGTCTAGTCAATTGAGGTGCGCCCGATTGAACAAAAAAAGCAATACACGATAAAAAGCAGACGAAATTGTTTTCTAACGAAGATTTCTAACGTATAAAAAATAACAATTAAAATGATTGGGGCTTCGGAAGTCACTGTTAAGAATTGGCTTCAGACATAAGACCTAACTAAATGTCTACATCACATTCACAAACTGTCACAAGTACTTGTGGCAGTCCTAAAAAAATCTAAGATTAGTAAGAATGGAATCTAATCATATTTGTTATGAACTAAAGTAATATCTTGTTATTTAGGTGTTTTATGTTGAAACTGAAAACTGCTAATCAATTTTTAAATTTGCTAATCAAATTTGGCAAAATTGGACTTTTTGATTAGCAGTGCTGCTAATCAACCGTGAAAAATTACCGACAGCCCTGCATGTAAGACTACCCAACCGAACACATCACAAATTTCACAAGCATTATGCAAGAGCTAAATCTGTCTACTACAGGTCTTTATTTAGGCATTTAAGTAAAGTAGCCAAGTCTTTAACTCAGTATCATCCAGTCTTCGACATTACAAACATGATGTTGTTATCTTTAATCTTACCGTGAAAAGATGGGCTTCTGGTATCCAATATTTAAGACACAATGAATCGCATGCCAGAATGCTTGCATGTGCCATTTGTAATGAGCGACTCGATGAACAAGACATTTATTAACATGATAAGACCATAATAAGTCTTGATGCCATTGGATAGGTCTGATTTTAAGTAGATTAGAACGGTTTAGCCATTTAATGATTTAATCTTAAAATGGAGAAGTGAGGCTAAGCGACGAACAACCAGGATGGTGGTTATAATTAGGGCTGGCGAAAAATATCGATATAGCCGATAATCGTAGCCGGATAAGGGAAAATATCGATATCGATATTCAGTTCTTGATATCGATACTCGTAAATGTTTTGTGTCAAATAATCACGGTCATATCACCCATATCATTCAAAACATGCTAAAACTAAAAACACACACACTAAGTAGTAAGTAAGGTAAACCACCGCGCCGGTAATTTTTAAGACGTTTACACCAATGACAATGAATAATTAATTAATTGTTCAGGGGAAATAACTCGATTTTAATAGAAATTTATCTATTGTTATAATCGGCCGAGGAAAATTGTCAACAGTGATTAAAGGCGAGCTTGAAGCTGCGAAAACTATTTTGTAAATAACCCCATCCGATAAGTTGTGAAGGAAACAAATATTAAGAAAACAGTTTGAGGATCATAGTTTTTTTTTATTTGATCAAGAACACATTTAAATGCATTATTAGCATACAAACAGTTATTTCTTTCAACTTCAAATTTTTCAATATATCAATATCGATATTGCCGAAATGGTTGCCGATATCGATATTTGAAATCGGCATCGATTGCTAGCCCTAGTAGTAATAATCAGTGCACACATCTTGTCTGCAAAGCGTCAAAGGCTAATATCTTTGCTCAGAATAAAGTAATTTGAATGATATATTCAATATACATGTATTCATTTTGCATTATCTATTTTTGAACTATTATAGCAAGAACGGCCAGCTCTTTATCTAAATCTTAGATAATGTATCTTTAATCAAGTAGTGTTTTACACCGACTTTGACAATTATGATGCACAGATATGCTAACCACAGTAATCTACATGTATGCATGTCTTGAAATGAAAATGACTGCCTGGAAACTGCTTAAGATTTAAATAAGATCACTTGCACCCTTGTCACATAGGATTATATGCTTAGATGTAGTTGGGTGTGGGCCAGTCTGCAGAGTTTGTCAGATTTCGACGAGATCTTGTGCGTGCAATGAAAATCTTTACTAAATTCTGGCGTGCAGCCTAACATTTCAGACGTGAAGGAGATAAATCCACGAGTGATAAATTATGCTATTTCTGTCTGACGTGTAATTTAAAAAAAGTACCAATAAATTCAAAATTATAGCAACCACTGCACGTGTACCGTACATTAGCCACACATGGCAACTCGATTGGGTCAATTTGCCTCGCACACTGAGTCACTTCACTACTTACCATTATGGTAGTTGTCTCCCTTGCATGTCGGGTATTATCGTTATTATTGAATGCACATCGACAACGGATTACCATATACGGAAAAAAATGGCATTTAGTACTGATTAAAGTAAAGTCACTGTGTGCATGCAAGGTAAAAATATTGTGCCAAACTGGCATGCAAATCTAAAGAAAATTCGTGTGCACCGATCTCTGAAAAAAATTACTTGTGCATGCACGGACATACTCTGGGGACTGGGGTGTCGGGAAAAGCAAATGAACAATAATCAGTCATTATTGTGCAAAAATGTATGTTATGATACATGTCGTTCTTGCTCAGTTAATGCCATTATGATGATTCACAAAAGCTATGCTATATAGAACTAAAGTAGTCGGTCTTTCCTTATCTCACACCTGCAGTGACGATAATGCAGTCTGCAGAACAAGTCAAATAGACATGGGACACTTGAAATGTAAACAAGAACAAATATGTGATAAAAATAACAGTCAGGGATTTCAATATTACAATATGAATAGACTTACATACTGAATATTCCATAATAAGTTGAACTGAGTATTGAGTGACTGAAACGTTTACTACGTTGTCGTTTGAATAACAAACCACAATTACGGTACCAATAATAATCATATTTGCAATTCAATTGGCCCGAAATAAACAACCAAATTAAATCTTGCAAATTTTTGCTATTTGGGCAATTATGCTGGACAATCGAATATGGATTTGACGAGTGTCGAAAAACAAAAAGTAAACACTGATTGGGCTTACCACTTATTTCTTCGGTTCCTTCTGTAAGAATATCTTTCGTCAAATTTGACAGTTGCCCTGTGAAAGACGAAATACTGCCGCCAAGCCATGACATTTTTAATCAATTTTTTCTTTTTAGGGATTATCAGCCTTAATTTCAATAAGTGTCTGCATTAATTTCTTCAATCCTAAACCCTAAATAACACCATTTTTTAGTTTGCGAGACAAAATGCCAACACGACGGAGGCCATCTTGCTTGTTTAGCACAGAATGCGCATGACTAAATAAAGGGAGATAACTACCACAGCTTCATCGTTCAATTTCAGGAATGCACACCCAATAATTGAATGTCGAATTTCAAATTAAAGAGGTGCTGCAAGTTACCGTGACGAAACATACACCCACAGCAGCTAAATCTTCGTGATATGCCATACCCGTTGGTAACCTCAGTCGCTTGATCGTACTTAGCCTAAGCAGAAAATTCCCATCATGTAACTTAGTCAAGCTATTGAATAATTAATGAATCTATACCTACCCAGAGTTTCATCGCTCTCGTCCAATTGGAACCAAAGTTTTCGTGTTCCAAAGTCTCAACAAATCAAATTGCTTATCTCTAATTAGCCTTTGTGGAAAATGCGCATGATCGAACTCTGTCAAGGCATTCATCTAATAGACATCTACACTAATTTTGAACATTCTACTTCAATTACTATATTAGGAGAGTTATTGTGCTCCAAAGACTCCGCCATCAGTCTCTATTTTGCTAAGCAGAAAATCCCCAGCAATGAACTTCGAAAGAGGGGGCCAATTTCAATAACATTAGCCTCCTGATATTTCAGAAAGTTTATGAGCCATAATTTCATTAGCCTCAAAAACTGTGAATTTCGGTAGGGTTCTTCAAATGATCAATCACTGATTCCATATAATAGGGTTCTATATATGAGCAAAATATTTTACAAAGCCATGCCACTGATGCATTTGAAATCAGTTTTGTTCAAACCCTAAACTACTATGACCTATGTGGGTGGTGTGAAGAATTTTATAAAGCCCTTGCAAACCTGAAGCTGGCAGATCAAGTTACATGTGCAGGAGGAAGTGAAACAGTAGTAGTTTTTTTTTTACTAAATTTACTGAACACTAACTCCTTAGTATTTTGTCAACATTTATACAGAGTTTTTTTTTTTTATTGTTGATTACAAAATGAAATAGAATGGGTTCAACAATGAATCAACATCGCACAGGTGTAATGAAGAAGGGCATACCCCATGCAGTGTATGTACTATGCGGCGGAAAATATTCACCTACCTTTCATCACATTCTAATTATCAAAGGTTCTTTTACATGCATGCCAACAAGTACCTAGGTAAACTTGATCTTTCGTCCCATCTGAATGAAAAAAGGGTTCTATCTTGACCGGCCCTCCATTCTGAACCACCGTTAAGGGGGAACTAGACTGAAATATTATTGGGGAACTCCAGGTTAGTAAGCCTGTGCCATCCAGGGATAGATTTTGCCAGGACAGTAGTGTTGTCACAAATTCCAAATCATTTTGAGTATTTCATGTACAGTAGGACTTCATATCATTCAACATCTTTACACTTGCTCACTAGGCAATGGATAACACCCCTATTATTCTGACAATTGGTATTAAAGTGGTAGACCCAATTAGTCAATGCTGGCTGTTTACCCGTTAAATGTAAGTAGTATAAGGACGAAACTGGAAACAGTAGAGCAATTGTACTGGGCCCATCGCTCCCTGACTACCCTATCACCCTTGTGTAGTGTCACTCAAATCAGACAAACAGTCACAATTATACATTAGCAATTTTCCACTCCCAACAATGAAAAACTAGACTAATAAAACATACAAATTATTGAATAGAAACTTAACAAGAAATGTTTTAATTTTTATTAAATAGATTTTCTAATTCGAATATAGTATCAAACATGTTCTAATGATTCCATAATTTTTTTTACACTGTCTATAGTCTATTCGTGTACTGGATCAAAGTGTGTATCTGAAACAGATTAAAAAGAATAATTATTTATTTTGGATTTTAATAAAAGGGCCAATAAGTTTATTATCCTTCTAATCTGAGTGTAACCAGCACATCCACAGACTGTAAGGTCATCAATGGAAGTCCAATCCAGACCTAAGCTGCATCAATCATTGAATAACAAAATGCAAAAAAAATGGTGAAGCTGAAAAGGGATAGTTTTAAAATACAGTTTAGTACTTATACAGGTCTCTGTGTATGGAGACATTAATTTCCCCATTGACTTCAATGCTAACTCTGGTCTCTTTGCCCGGCCCCAACTTTTCCCCAAATTTTCGTTGGGCTGAACACGTTTCACTACAGACAGAGCAACAAATGGTCATGTCTTTATTACTCCAGATTTTGTATGAGTTTGACCAATTAAATTTTGAGATACACAAACTTGAAGTAGCATACTAAAAAAACATAACAATCTGTCGTACATCTCACCGTAGCCAACCTCTTAATTCTGTTATCCTTCGGTCTCTAAATAACGAATATTTACCAAAACCTGACAGAAAATGTTAATTCGACCCCTCTTCTTCCATACTAGACCAAAAAATCAACAAAAATGCCCACGGATGCATAAAGGGAGAGAATTGAGAAACGGGGAACTGCTATAAATAGATGAACGACAGTTTGTGGTTTCCGAGATCATGAAATTTAATGGTGGTCTGCCTCCATATTCACTTCACAGCAAGAATTTTATATTTTCTTCACTGCCTTGAAACCACTGGTTTCTCAACACAGCATATTCTCACAAAAGAATGTATGGCAGTCTGAGTGTGTACGACATAGATGTAGATATTCAATTCATGATGTGGGGGTCAGGCCAATCCAGCCATCGGATTACCACAGTATAATACCTCAATATTGAATGGGGTTTAATACTTACGATCACGTTTCTTCCTTATGGCATCCCATGTGCGGACGTTTCCAGGTGAATTAGCTAAAATAAGGAGAAAATATTATGTTTCTTTTAATTTACTTTACTCACTTTCAGAACAGTGTTTTCGTTACAATGTTTGTAATTGCAGTCTGTAATGATATAATACTTTATTGATCATACATTCATTACAACTGTATGTGACTAATGACAAAATCATCCCAATTTGAACCATTGAAAGGAAAAAAAGGGGGATACAAGGTCTTTCGTGCATTTGATCTGTCATGGGTTCTTTTAAGTACATGCTTATGTGTAGACGAAACTAATTATGATTTTCAGACCATTCAAATGACTAGATGCCGTTCCTCGTCAGGCCCTCCATTCTACAATACTGACATGAGAAAACTCGACTGAAAAATCAAGGATCGAATCCGGAACCTTTTAGTTAGTGAACCAGCACCTTACTAATCACTGAGCCAAACATATCGGTATCAAAACCGGAAGTTGTATAGTCAGGCCAAATGTCTGGTATGCACAATACTTCAAATTGCATCTGACATTTACATTTTTCCCTTTTTTGGTCAGACTAGATTCTATATTCAAAATCATGATAGTGTGATATTCAATCCCCTTTATACGGAGTTCTGACTGCATTTTCATTTTAAAAAACTAAAACTCTTTGATTTATGTAAAAGGTATTGATGGGTGTTGATCTTTCCTGATGGGATATTTCAGTTAGTATTAGGGCAAGCTCTATATGATTACCCCCTTTTTTTTACCAGTATATTTTATTTTGAGAGAGATGACGATCAACAATTTCATTTTTGACCCAAATCCCAAAGGTCTTGCCAATTTAAATCTAATAATATCTCCCCATTACAGAAAAAGAATACAATGTAATTATACAATGTAATTTACCTCCTTTGTGAATCTTATAGAAAATTGGTAAACATATAAGCCATGTATATGCAGTGAACCTAATAAATCGACCATTTTTCCAGTGAAATTTCCATGGAAACTGCTGTAGTTTAGCAGCAATTGTATAAGGATACTTCATTGGTTGCCCTCCGGCCTGCATCTGCAATTAAATAATTCAAAATATCAATAGGATCCTTTTGTTATGCTTTTATACCTTAAAGGAGCTAAATCGCTAACATTTGGGACCTAGAAATTGACAAAAGTGGGTCGCAACGCATATAATACTGTAATATGAATGTATATAAACTGATTTACATTCAATGGTTTCCATTTTTACTCCAATTTCAAATCAGTTATGTTCGGCGAAATAAGCCAGCAGTCTCAAGCGAGTGCAAATTTCTAGCGTCTGGTTATTCCAGTCTACATACGCCGTTTGATTTGGTGCAATGTGTCGAGTCTCGTCCCTCGAGTCTCTTGATACAACTGGGGCTGAAGCGCATTATGGTACACGATTCGTGTACCAATGGTAAAATGTTTATTTTGTCTTAAATATTGGATATCAAAAGCCCATCTTTTTCCGGTAAGATCACAACATGAATGTTGATTTAATTTGACAAATAAATCGTGTTTTCAATGTTGAAGATTTTGGATAATATTGAGTTAGAGACTTAGCTACTTTAATTTTATACTCCTCTGAAAAAACTCTCAGTTTCAATAAGAAGAATGATTTAGAAATTAAGGAGAGCGATCTGATATGAAGGTGACTTAATTAGGAGAGTGATTAGTTGTATGTATGGGAAATGGTTCTGGCGATCAATAACTGCATGTTTAGGGGGTCATTCTTGGTTTCATAAATGATAATAAACAGCCCATGACTTTGTAAAGGAAAAGCGATTTTCAGTATTTAAGGGGGCTGGGGGAGCCAGGCGCCCAAGAGCAATCACTCGCCTTAAAAAAACAATGACTGCAAGTGGGACTTGGTAGGCTACTCAGAGAAATACCCTTGATCACTTAACTAGTCTTAGGTTTGAGGTCACACACACTGACAGACACACACATCACTGAAAAGCACTCATTTTGGTGCCACAAGTCATGACTATTCAAAGAATTATTTCTGTCATTTAAAATATATTGACCTGAAACCCCTAAATACTAATAGTAAATACCGGGAAAGATGCCATGGCCCTGTGAATAATGTCAATGATACTTGTCTGGAAGTTGATACTATGAGTATGATTATGAATGATAGATAGATGGAATTAGATTAGAATAACTGGTAATTAATATAAATAAATAAAAGCGTCAATGACTGAATGTTTACTGAAGCGGTTTCCTGTTTTGCTATTTCAGAAGGCTTTTAATGAAATAAACAACAATAATTGTTAAACTGCTGGGTGAAAAAGGGCGTTAAGTTCATTTTATACCTTGACTATACAGCAAGATCCTCGCTTCTAATATAAAATGGATGTCTCAGATGCCCTCTAACGAACGGGAGATAACTTTAACCATTTCCGCTATGTGTGTCAATTCGTTACTAGACTAATTCGTGCCTACAAGATGAAGACATTCCGTATCCTATCTTTCACAACAACACAGAAAGCATGTAAGTTATGTTAAAAACTGTTGCACTAGCAGATTGTTTTATTCTAGTTACTTTAGTAACGGGTTCTTATCGGACTCCGCATAGTTTTATTCATGAGTCACTCTAATAAAGGTCACCTTGGAAAACGACCTTCACCTGATTTGACCAAGAAAACCGGAAATAGGAAAGTAGAAGCAGGACATTAATCGTCGGAGAAGACAAGCTTATGCATTTATGCTTCACAGAGTAAAGCCACGATTAGAATTACAATAATACTGGTATATTTTATCGCTTGTTAATATATAGGTTATGTATGATGAGATTATCACTGGAGATCTATTCATCTAAAACTCGAACAACTGTGACTGTGTCCGTGTTCTACGGTCAAGACTCAAGGCTGAATTAAAAATTTCAGCTTCATTAATGCTTTGGGAATGGCACAATACTAGATCATTGTATGATCTGGAAAATATCTTTCTAGGGTTAGGGCTAGGTTTACAATTTACATGTCAAACGTACAAATTGAAGCTGTAAACACATTGGATTGCGGGTAAAACTATTCTGAAGGGTTAGGGTTAGAATTGTGAGTATAAACACGGAAAGATATTTTCCAGATCGAACAAACATCCAGTATCGTGTGTGGGAATGTTTCAAAGAAATTCCCTTTAAGCCATTCACAAAGCACAGAGAAATAAGATTTCAATTGAACTGTCTACAATAATCGAAAGAAAAGAAGAAATAAATACGTGAACAGTGTTTTGAACCCATGTATATGGACTACTAGGGATCTATTTCTTACGGCCACCTGCAGGTTTAGTCAAAGGTCACAAGATTTAAACAGGGCTAGCGCTAACCCTAACCCAGGACCTAATCCTAACCATAACCCATTATGTACGAATTTTCATCTCGGCTACCTTGACAAAATCTAGAGGTGGCCTTAATATTTAGATCTAACCCTATGTATGTATGACATTTATCGTCAAGTCTGTGTAGCCACTGAAGTGTACTACTGTATAAGATGTACTGTTCTATATAAAAACAAACACGATAGTAGGCCTACTATTTGAACCAGGAACCAAGCATGACATCATCGTGGCCATCTTGGAAATGTGAAGTCATATCAAAAATCAACGTCTGTCAATTATGTAGTAGTTATTAGCACACTTTCCGAGGTGTATCGGTGAATATCAGGACAGTTTTGGTCGAGGGGCCCAGCCGAGGCGGCTCCCGACCAAAACTGTCCTGATATTCACCGATACACCGAGGAAAGGTGCTAATAAGTTACTTACATCACATTTCTATCGAGTATTGTGAAGCAAAATGTGAAAAATAGTATTTATTATCGAGTCGTTTCAACCGAAAAGTGACAAATACTTTCTGTTCTTTCATTATTTATCCCTTTCTGAGCCTCACGTTACATTTCATGGTAGAATGATTTCGCAGTTGAGAGACGACCTGAGTAGTATTCACACGTGCGTCTTGCTATGATACTCTGAGCGTAAAACAAAGACGTGTTTGTTTAGATCACATCGTCAAAACAATGTCTATGGCGTAGAGGACTGCGATATTATTAAATGTAGTGTAAAGGAAATGCGAAACGTGGGTCATTCCTGGTGAAAGTATGCATCGGCGGATGGTTCTTCCGTTGAAATTTATTTGTAATAAAGTTTATGACTTTCTAGGCGTTTTTTTTTCATCCTGCTTATTTTCAATCTGTGAAGTGTCCAGCAAGAGAACTGCGCCTTCTATCATCACAATTAATTAAAATAATATATTATTCAATATTCTAATTTATATATTTTGCATATTAATATAAATCAAACCAAATTATGAAATAGATGCCAATTGGTATGTATAATAATTGATCTTTGTAATATGTTGTTATGTTAATTTAATGTCATTGTATATGTTTTTGAATTGCCATGTAGTTCCCCCCATTTTGTTTTGTTACTATGATTTTGACTAGTTGTTTCCTGTACATTGGTTAGAGCCTCGTTATCAATTGCGATCTGGGTCGGACTAAAGTCCGCTACTTATTGCTTGATAGATATCTAAAACGGTATAAAAGTAACCAGGTATAAAAGTAACCAAGTATCCGTGTATCAGAAATGATCAGTACTCTTTCTGTACATTTCTGATACACGGATACTTTTAAGCATGTATTGCAATTAAACAGGACAGTTTTATCAAAGGTTGCCAGTGGCAACGAGTAGAAGTGGGATGTAACAAATCAAACATGCACAGTTCCATGTCAATAAGCATGTATTGCAATTAAACAGGACAGTTTTATCAAAGGTTGCCAGTGGCAACGAGTAGAAGTGGGATGTAACAAATCAAACATGCACAGTTCCATGTCAATCGTACATGAATTGGCAGAGCCTAAGGCTTTATTGAAGAGTGTCGCCCCCCAATGACTAGAACAGCAAGAAAAGTAAGGCTTCTCCATGCATATCCTGGTCCAAAAATTGATAATATTAATTTAACTCTTACATTTTATCTACTTTTCCAGTGTTATAATTTCTGAAGTTGAATTGTTATTTGTAAAGGCATGAATAAAACTGTATAACTTACAACAGAGCAAATGGCAGGATTCCACCCAATTAAGACACCCGAAGATGCAGTTATTAAACAACAGTAAGTAGACCAACTTGATTTAGATAAAGGTACAATAAAGTAAGTGCATGTCACTATTACAACCAGAGAAGAATATTTTTGACAAGTGATTCTTCTAACACTAGTTTTTGACTGTCCGAACATGTTTTACTTTTACAACTGGTTGCAAACAGTTTTTACCCAGTCTTGGGTGACATGTCTTCATCTATAGCTGTCAATTGCGCTGTCCGAGCTAGCTAGTTTCTACAAGTTTACTAAATGGGAAAACCACCATGGCCAAGTCTCCCAACCAATCATACTACTTATATTAAAAGGATATATTTATTAAACTCTATCTGATTAAAACGCAGATCCTATTTCGTTTCGTTTTTTAGTTCAAAATTTCGTTTACTTGTCTTTACTACACTATACTAGAAGAGTTGTTATATAACAGGCGTTCTACTTGATGTGAGGAATTAGCCAGTGAAACGGTCTGTTACGGCGAGTTTTTGGCCTTTTTGTGCACAGAACTGTGGGTAAACCACTAGAAACATCAATGCTGATTGATTAATCAATGTCTGACGTCATAGGATCAAAAGCCACTCATTTGACCTCTGACCTGAACTCTCACTATAACTGGTCAGATCTTCATGTAGTGTAAGCCATCGAAAGAATAAAAAACGATCCGAAATATAGATCAGTATTTTAATCAGATTGTATTAAACTATTTTAAATGAAGAATTTAGTATACAAAGTTCTCAGTGGATATAAAGAAAACTATGCAGTAGAGTGGAGATATGGTGGATACTTTTTTAAGATAAAGTATATCCGGTATTGTGTTCTGAAAGAAAATGTCTTTTATGTCTAAGAAATGACAATATGACAAATCAGTCATTATAAAATTAATTATTTTTGCTTTATAATTTTCTATCTGTATTTCAGGCAAGGACCAATGCAGATTCTAAACCCAAATATAGATATAGAGGATGAAGATGTACTCTATCACATCGCCCTTAGTAACAGATCACACGATCTTAAAGATATGTTTCAAGATGTTAAGGTTTGTCTGTATTAAGATTCAGCAGTATTGCTGGTAATTCAGCAATTACCACGAAAAATACATTTCTATACAACAGGCAATAAACAAGAAAAATTTTAAAAATGTGACGTCAATTGTTATTCAAGAAAGTTACACATTGTGGTCAAATTGTATTAAGTTTAACGATCGAAGTCAACATTAATTTGTAAAAAGTTATATTATGTTCTTGTTAATTTTAGTTTGTTTGTTTTGGTGGCTCTCCTAGTCGAATGAAGAAATTTGCAGAGTTTATGGTGAATGAATTAAAGTATAAACTGGTTGCTGGCCAGTCGTTATGTAATATAGCAGGAGGATCAGATAGATATGTATTATATAAAGTTGGACCAGTACTCTCAGTTAGTGTAAGTATACGAGTCATGAGTCATTGGCAATCTCTGTTTAACCCTGGGGTTCATTCTTAAAAAATGCAATGATTCCCCTCGAAATATAATCCATTTAAAAGACCATATAAATATATGAGAGTATACTCATTGGCCTAATTGGATATAATTAATCAAAGTAGTTCAACAAGGTGTGCTTTCTATTATCACCATTAGATGACAGCAACAGCAGCTTGCAAAATATTGAAATAAAGGTATAGCATGTAGGTGAGGCTAAGTGGATCTGAAAACTTTTTTCTCCATATCGAGCTTAATGAAGTTAATGTTAGCTCGCAGGAGTGTGGGATCAAAGTCAGTCCCAAGAACAGGATTATCATTTGTCAGTTTCACAGCGGGTGGGAGTGTAAACCTGACATTTAACCAATGGTAAAATTTTCATTCTTTGCTAATAATTGTTTTAGCCAATCACAGTGGCTCAAATAAGACATCTAAATAGTTAGAATAATGATGCAGAACAAATAAAGAACTCATTTTAGTCACATTGCTTTCGATGCATTATTGCCATGCAGTTATAACCATCCACTATTTTTTAGATAATCTGTTTATGTCTTTCAGCATGGTATGGGTATACCATCTTTATCCATTATCTTCCATGAAATAGTAAAACTACTATTTCATGCCGGTAGTAGTGATGTCATGTTTTTTAGAATTGGTACAAGTGGTGGACTAGGTATAGTATATGTAGTTTGTTCATTTTGATGCAACCAAACTTGGGCATTCACCTCTTGGTGTATAGTCAGCCTTCGTTAGTATCAACACCGTAATCCGCAGTTCAAGATGCTGTTGACAATCAAATACAGTAGGAATTTGTTATGAATTAAATAAATATATTAAAAAATCAACGATTGGGAGAAACCTTAAGCTGGATATTATCAGGATTGTGAGACTAAGGATTTACCTTAACAACCATGTACGACTTGAAATAATATAGGGGAGATAACTCTGCTTAATTCTTTGTTTACAACAGAGGGAGAGAGAGAGAAATGGGGTTTAACGTCCACTCGACACACACTAGGTCATTTCGGGACTAACATATGGTTTAATTTTATTTACATAATTCACTTGCGCGTAGGGGTCTTTAGCAGTGGGAGGAAACCGGAGGTCCCGGAGAAAACCCACGAGGTTGGACAGGCGACCCTACTCCTTGCCACGTACAACCGGTTGTTTACAACAGAAACCTATGAAACTACTAGGCTGAATCATCGAGACTAGTAACTCGTTAAAGGCCTGTTAAGTGGCACTCTCTATAAATGTTTCCCAGCTGGCTCTATTCATATTCGGGCCTAATGCAATGCAATTAAATTATGCAAGTCGACTTTCTGACATAAAATATGGGACCCTGGGCCTACAACCGTATATTCTTGTTTTATTCAGGAGTTGAGCCAGGAACTGTTATAATCACAGAAGAAGCCGTAGATGGTATTTTAAGACCATATATGGAAGTTGTAAGTTTTCAATATCCTATAAATTATTTAAATCATTTACTTAGGATGGATTTTATGTCGATTTTAAATTGGTTTGTCTTATTTGTTGGTGTCCGTATTCTTCTATTTTCTAGATCTCTGTCAAAAATGTATGCTCAAAATTTTAAAACATTTTGAATTAACATTTTTTTTTTTTTACCATTCTAGGCAACACTGGGAATGATGTTACAATACCCAGCAGCTTTAGATCAGACAGTATTAAAAGAATTAGTCGCTAGCTCAAGCCCCGACGACCATTTTGAAACCATCAGTGGAAAAACTATGTGTACATATGATTTCTATGAAGGTAATACTGACAATTTAATGCAGTCTACACCATTCAATAAAACGGATACACTAGGCCCGCAGTATAGCACATTTTCACTTTATCCATATAGAGTTATTCACCATATCCCATTCCTTTTCCACTAGGTGATATTTGTGCACATATGTACTCAAAAGCCCATATTGCATTCTTAAAATAACATATTCTTCAGTTTCTGCATATAATACCCCTAAACATACTAATACTTACCATATATTTGGAAAAAATGATTATCTGTCTAAATCCATAACCCAAGTCTGTGAGCTTTCTAAGGTCTCACAAAATTTTGAGTCCCAAGTCCTAGGGGAAGATCTACAGTTAATAATTAGCTGTTCATCACGGTGCCAAAAGGTGCCAAATAGCAGTGAGTGAAGGAAAATACAAAAGTACCTTTACCACATAATTTTTGTCTCATCCTCCAGCAGCTTCTACTTTATGAAATCTAAGCCCAACTTGTTCCAGGTACTGCCTATTAGTGACAAGTAAGCTACACAGTTACCATGGATATTTTATATTTAACAGGTCAAGGTCGACTTGATGGGGCATTCTGTGATTACAAGAAATCGGATAAGATGGCATTTTTAAAGAGAATACATGAAAGAGGAGTGAGGAATATTGAAATGGAATCTCTTTGTTTTGCAGCCTACTGTCACAGGGCTGGTATCAAAAGTAAGCGTATTTGGGATTAATTGTTAAGCTAATTTCAAGATTAATGCACGGTGGATATACTCAGTTATATTTTAGGACTGGATTCTAACTATCAGGCGTTTGTTCTGAAAGTTCCAGGGATAAAAACTTGTTACTTTAATCAATTAAAAGGATAATCCAAGATTAAATGTGTAAATCAAATGCCAGAATATGACATCCTCTTTTCTAGCCAGTTCTATTCTGTGGCATACTGAGAGGGATGCAGTTCGTCTTGGATGACAGCCAGGAGGTGGGGCTATAGGGAGAATTGAAATTCCAGTGCAAGGCTATAAGCAAAATGAAAATTACACCAAAATGAAAACAAAAATTCCAAAGGAATGCTCTGCAGAAAGTAGTACTTTAACTGACCTATCATGAAATCGGATTTACGTCCTGCTGCAACAATTATAAACCCCATTTATTATAATATTAGGCATAGTGGTTGTCAATTTAATTAATTTTTGGTGTATATTTTAGGTGCTGTGATATGTGTTACACTGTTGGATCGTTTACATGGAGATCAAATATCAACTCCTCATGATATTATGGAGGAATGGCAGTCAAGACCACAGATTATCGTATCAAGATACATCAAATCAAAACTAGGAATTATCTGAATCCAATCTCAGGTTTAGCATCACAGACTAATTGCCACACATGATTGTTGTGTAAATTTATTCTTTTCTTTTTTATTATGCTTCCTGAATTACCGTAAAACAATCTTAATGTACATTTCTGTATAAGAGTGAGAGCTATATGCTTTATCACCTTTTGTATTTTTTTCTGTCGAAATATATTTAAAATGTTCTACAATTATCTTCCTTTTCAGTTTAGTTTCTTATTTTATTTTGTTATCGGGCTACAGCTATATATGCTTTCTGTACAATCCAATATTGCTGCAAACGGTATCTAGGTGTAAAGTTGACTAGGATTTATATGATAAAATATATTTCTATATTTAAGTCTAAGATTTTTCAGCTATAATGTATAGAATTCATGCTTGCTACAATTAATTTAATCCAAGTTTCAGTAGCTATAAAATATATGTAATGTACTTGTTTGGTGTTCCGGTTTATTTTTTCTTGCCAGTATTATCTTTATTTTTGTTGTTGTAACTGTTATTTTATATTTTTATGATGGTATAACCAAAATTCTTTTCATTTAAAATGTTAAAAAGTATACTCAGAATGATGTATTTTAAAATTCTATTCAGATGTTAATAAGAATTATACCAGTTCCAAATTCATATATTTCCCAATATCACATATTTGTAATAATAAAATTCACTACTTATATGGAATATCCTAGTATATTGTCTGGAATGGAATATTTATGTTATATATATAATCTTGTTATTGATATTGTTATTAGAATTATATTGGAAAATGTTTTTGATTTTTTTATACAGCCCACTATTTTTTCTTGATACAATCATGATGTTGGAGATGTGCAAAAGTACAATTGTAATTTAACTTTTATTATTATTATTATCGGTTAATTGAAATATCTTCAGAATTTATCAAAAATTTATATTTTTATCTATTTTATCAATTATAATATCATATAATTTATTTAAAACCTGTTGAAAAATATTACTGATTAATATGTTATTAGATGCACTAAGTTACAACTGTTTTTAAAGATTTGTAGTTTTATTAATTGAAATATCTTTATAATTATAATCAACAAAATTTGTTCATTTGAATTTATTTGCATATTTAAGATTGCTTGTCTCAAAAAATATAAATTTTGGTTTGAAAACTCATTTAATTAATTTAAAACTTGTCGACAAATATTACTTAATAATTTGACCAAAAATTTGATCATTCATTTAAATAGTTTAATGTTTAAGATCCCATTTTATGAGATTTAATTGACCACAATGACTTATGGACCATTATATTACGATGTGATGTTCTAGACAATAAATTGCTCATTAAAATGATTCATTGGACCAAAAATTTTTAAATAGATATTAACGTTTATTGTTCAAGCTTTAATAGATCATGATTACTTATACTGGTTATCATTTTTAAAACCTTTTTATGATGAATTAAGAAATGGAAGAACTAGTTTTTCATTTATTTAATAATTTACATACTTAAATGTTAATTTGCCAGTTTTAAATGACCACAATTACTTATAGACAATTGGTACAGTATGAAAGTTCATTTACAAATTAAAAATGAAATCAAAAATGAAATAATTAAAAATTGGTGTCGGGTAAGCATAACCTGCTTTATACATGGTACCTGTTATTTGAAAATCATTGATATATTTGATGAAATTATTTATATCTGTCCATAACTTGATACTAAGATTGTAATTTAACATGTTAATTACCACGATACGTAAAGATACATTATGGGAGGTTCGATAACGAGTTGGCAGTTCTCAATATAATAGTTTAAAACTAGATAATGTAAAGGCAATTTGCTGAAAATTTTATTCAAATTGATCCACTATGAACTGAGAACTAAGTGATTGAAATTTCCGCCTAGCCTCGATCATCGGTACTAAAGTCAGTACGATAAACAGCATAGTCTCTATTATCCATTTAATCGTTAAATCATGAAGGAAAGTTATGCAGTAAATCAGCTCATAATCCACTAAAGATCGCAGGCTAGCGATGCCATCTAGATTTAATTATGGTCTGGATAGGTTAATTAATTTAGATAACATTTCAGGCCTAAAGAAGAACCTGCAATAGACTTATTTAGCTCTTGCATAATGTATGTTGCATAGGTAAAGTTGAGAGTTTGACCCTTATGATTTGTTAATTTGTACACCTAATTTATTTTTATTTTAAACTAAACCCTCCTTTTATCTTGCCATATCAAAAAATCATGACATATTGTCAACCATTAGCCATAGCAATAAAATAACCCTAAACAATTATTGGTAACATGAACAGTCATGGATCTCTACCCAAACAGTATCAGATTTGCACACACATGATGTCATTGAAATTACTGAAAATTTAAAAAAGATTTAAATCTGTATATTCATCAGATTATGATCATCGTGAACTTGTATGAAAGTGGGTATGATCATCATATATCTTGGGTCTTAATGATCTCAGGTGGTGTCTATTGCACAATAACAACCCTCTAGATTCAAACAGGAAGTGTTTATCTCTGGAATAATTAAATTTGAATTGTTTATAGAGTCTTTTCTTTAATTTTTTTGTAATTGACCAGTGAACCACTGTATAGTGTAAAAAATATTCCATTTTGTTTTTATACGACTGCATTGAAATGCGGTCGATTATTGTCTTCACCTGCACTCTCTGTCCTGTTATTCACAATAGCTTGTCGACTCACGATCAAGAGGCTAATTTTAGAATTAAATTGAACTAACATTTATACATGTTGTGCATGTTCATGAGACAAATATATTTATTGATTTTCTATGGTTTTGGCTCTTGAGCACTTAGAAAAATCTTGTAGATGCCCTAGACAATGGGTGTGCTAGATTTGTGAATGCGATATATGCTAAAGTTATTATCTGATTGACTTTGAATTTATATACAGTATTTATGTTCTTAATTGACATGCAGAAATCAATTGATTACTGGTATGTGTTTTGCATGATAAATGTCAGTATTAGGAGGAGCGAGAAGTCGATCAAATTTTAGTTATTCCACCCAACTGCTAGGAATTGTTACCCTTGTACCATAAAGTCTTTCGTTACCTACAAAATATTAAAAATGTGACAACCTTTGTGGACTGCTCAGTTGACTTATCTGCTGTGAACATATGTTTTGTTACCTGGCAACCTATTTTTCAACCTCTTGTAATTGTAGCAATCGAAAATTAAATAAATGACCACACTTCAATGAATGAATGAAATGGAGTTTAACATCCTACCGTCCTGCACCATATGACTTATTATTTGGATAAAGGTTGATTTCATAAAACAGCCATCCTGAAGTTATTGAAAAAGATCAGTAGCAATATATTCCATTATATATTCTGCAGGCTAAGTGGGTAAGACTTTGGCTCGCTAGACTGGAGGTCGAGTGATCGATTCCTGCATTGGCTGAGAGAGTTCATCAGGATTTTCTGACGTGGTTTCCCCTTGTCAGTGGTGCAGGACAGAGTGCCTGGCAAGGACAGCTGTCTAGTCAATCGGATGATACAAAAAACCAAGGTTCCGTGTATACATTGGCATGCACGTAAAAGATCCCTTGGCAGTTGGAATTCAGTATAAGAGTAGGCCATATAGTGCCGCTTCCCAGGCAAATTTTTCCTCATAGCACACTGTATGGCATATACCCGTCTTCATTAGCCCAGTCAGAGCAGAACAGTAGGACATTAAACCCCATTTCATTTCATTTCTATTATAGATTTCATGTTAATGTCAAGGCCCAATGCGATTTGTTAAATATTTGTTTTATCATAATTATCTAAAATATACTATTCAAAAAAAGTAGGGGATATTTGATTTTTAAGTGTTATTAAAGTCACCTAATGAAACTGACGAAGAAACAAATGACAAAATGAAATGAAGTTCACATTCATCGATTTATTCCAAATGATCGTTAGACTAAGTAAGGCACAGACTGACCATTATAAGGGTAAAATGATACCCGGGGTCAAACAGCAAAGTTACCACAGCATCACAACCAAGTCAGTAACGGGTAAATCCTCCTCTGTTTGCCAAACAAGCATTGATCCGACGTGGCATACTCCTAATGAGACGTCTAAGGTCATTTTGGTCCAGATTGTCCCATTCCTGTTGCAACGCAGCAGCAAGTTCTTGGACATTGGCAGGACGTTGTTGACGTAACCTCTGTCCAAGCATGTCCCAGACATGCTCGATGGGGGAGAGGTCGGGACTCAGTGCTGGCCAAGGTAATGTGGTGATGTTCTGTTGTTGGAGGTAACCTGTAACGATCCTGGCCCTGTGACATCTTGCGTTGTCATCCTGGAAGATGAAACGGCGGCCATGACGTCGTGCGAACGGCACAACATGGACTGCCAAGATGTTGTCCCGGTAGTACTGGCCTGTAACACGCCCTGCAACAACATGTAAAGCCGTTCTTCCAGCAACAGTGATGCCTCCCCACACCATAACAGAACCACCCCCAAATCGATCATGTCTGATGACGTTAACGTCTTGGAAGCGCTCGTTTCGACGACGCCACACCCTCCTACGTCTGTCCAAAAAATCAACAGTGAACCTTGACTCATCTGAAAACATCACAATGCTCCAGCGTCGATTATCCCAGTGTTGACGATCCCTACACCAACGACGTCTTGCCTGAATGTGATGATCTCTCAAACAAGGGATCACGCGAGGACGTCGGGCGCGAAGGTGACCCCTATGCAGTCGATTCCGAATCGTCTGGCCACTCACTCTCACACCAGTGTCTGTTTGAAGACGAGCGCTGATCTGATTTGCTGTGATGACACGATTTCTCAAGGCCAAGGTACGGATAAATCGATCCTGGGCTTGAGTTGTCGCCCTTGGTCGACCTGAGCGTGGTCTGTCCTGTACAGATTGTGTATCACGGTATCTGGACCATTGCCTGCTTATGACAGACTGAGAAACATTTATCGTCCGCGCCACAACCGCCTGTGTTGTGCCGATCTGTAGCATGCCAAGGGCACGTTACCTTTCATTTTGGGTAAGCCGACGCATATCAAAATTTGTTTTCTGGTCACTAAAACAATTAAACTGATGTTTCCACCCTGGAATTCAATGCCACAATGACTGTAACATTCAAAGTCAGAGTCGTGCAAATCTTGGGTTGGACCCCCATGATGATCCCAAGCATCACCTGCATTCCATGCGGTAGCTATTGGTGCGTTTGGGCGTCACATGTAACTGGAAATGTTTCTTCTGTTAGGTTCTATAGTGACTTTTTTCGTAGTCATTTGCATATTTTAGTATTATGCTCCCAAAATCAAATATCCCCTACTTTTTTGAATAGTATATATTGAATTGTAATTTTTTAAATTATTTATGTCTGTGATATTTATCTACACTTACATATTATTAAACTATGTCTAATTTAAAATATTAATATATTTCAATTGACAAATATTGTTATGTATATTTTATGGCCGTAAACTATATGTATGATATATAAAAGTACATGGTTTGAAGCGATTAAAACATAAAATATATTTCTAATTGTTAGTTATTGAATAAATGTATGTGAACTAAATAGGCTATAATAACATGCTTCTACAGTGTATAAAAGTACATTTCACAAAATGTTCTTAAAGGGGATCTTTGATTTATGTCAAAATAGGGTTGTTCTAATATGTTAATTTGATTAGTGATCAGCTTCCAGAGATCGTTAAGTGTAATTGTAATTTTTTACAAATGTAATTGTAATTTTTTACAAATTTTTAAAGTTTAAGTTTAGGCTTACTTCATGGTCAACATATAAAAACAAATCAAATCAATATATTTATCCATGCACTTTATTTCAACAAGTTTTATAAGGTTTCGTTAAAGCAAGCCAGTCTAGCCCGGATTTCACAAAGCATTCTCAGACTTTAAGTTAAGAATTTACTTAAAATTGTTCGCCTTATTTTAACTGAAATATAGCCCTTTATAAAACTTTTGTTGTTTTATTATATCAGATACATCAATAAGAAACTATGTGCAAAGTTTTGTGTTTCTAGATCAAAGATATTTCTCATTAAAAGTGATTGAAAGTTGTGTAAATTCTTAACTTTAGTCTGAGAATGCTTTGTGAACTCGGCCAGATATTACCATGGTCCTTAATTAGGCCTGATACATGTATTATAAGGTCCATGATATTACACATTTTAAAAATACTGGTAATCAAGGATATTTTTAAAAGTTTAAGCCTGCTCTACAATTAATCAAAGAAAGAATATGTTTAAAATTATAGAAATAAATATTTGTCAATATGAACTATTTATTGGTTTTCTTTTGATTCTGGGGGGTTGGATGGCTGAATGGTTAGCGTGTGCGGGCTGTATCATAAAGTCTGTCATTGAGTCAAGTGCCGTGGTTTCGAATCCCCAGTTGTACGTGACAAGGAGTAGGGTCGTCTGTCTAGGGTCTGTCAAACCTCGTGGGTTTTCTCCGGGTCCTCCGGTTTCTTCCCACTGCTAAAGACCCTTACGCGCAAGCGAATTATTGAAATAAAATTAAATCATGTGTTAGTCCCGAAATGACCTAGTTTGTGTCGAGTGGACGTTAAACCCATTTCTCTCTCACTCTCTCTTCTTATTCTGGACTTTCAAGAAAGGGTGGTGGCTTTAAATAAAGGGAGATAACCTATTTTAATATTGACAGGAAATAGAAAAGGGAAAGTAGATTAGTCAGGTTGTTGACATTCCCTTCCTGTTTATTGTTTTTAACAAGAAAATGTCAAGATTATACGATAATACACCATTAACAAATTTACCACAGAACAATATTAACTGGTCATCAGTTTGGAATGAAGATACATGGATCAGGTATTATTTTATTAAGTACCATGGACCCTATTATATTATTCTGTTTCAGTTCATGCTGTAAAACTGTAACTGAATTTATATAGCTGCTAGTGCTACTAAAATAAATAATGATTCCCATGTTTTATCAACATTATCGCATTAAAAGTAGGCACAGTGTAAACAAAATCTATAAATCTAAAATGTAGAAAGGCAAAATATTTTATATCTCAGTCCCAGGGTGATTTAGAAGAGAGCTCATCCAGGAGCGTGTCCAGAGATAGGGGTGGGTGAGGGCATCCATGGGATCAGGACCCTCATCCCTGCTCACGTAGAGTATATTTTTTTCTTCTACAGTCATCGCAAAAACTAATATGTGAAGCTTTGCCGCTATTTCGACATCACTCCACTCTTAATAAATAATTGTATAAACCTAAATGAGTTGAAATATTGTCTCAGAACTTCGGATTTTATCAAATTTGTGGGTAATCCCCCAGATATCTATCATCTTCTTTTTGCTTTTAAACATTTATTCTTTTCATCAAACTTTGTAACTTCTAGTGCATAATAAGATTCTGGCTGTTAGTTACACTGTCGATAGAAGTTTTAAATAGCTCAAATGAAAAAGCAACTGATCTCAACTCCAAGAAAGTTGATTATCTGAACACAGGCCAGTATGAAATGATTGATCATATGTGTGCCCTTTAGTACGATTTTTTTGTCAGTAGGGGCCCAAAAAATGATTGATAATTTTTTTATGTGCGGGCCCATATAGGTGATACATGTGTTTTCCCATTGCCTTTTCTCATGGTGACAACTGACAAGTCCATATGGGGACCAGGCAATTTCTGGTGGCTTAAATTGTGAGTAAAGATTTACTGGCACTCATTTGTCAATTTGTATTTATCAATGATGTTGCCATTTAAGATCAATAGTAGGCCCTACTATATTTTATATCCAGATCATGAGGTAACATGTTTTAATTTTTTAATCACAGCAAAGGGGAAGGAGTTATACTGGAGGCTTGTATAAAAGGAAAATCTAAAATAGCAGTCACAGATACTAGTAATAAAAAGGTGACAGTAATTTTTCTTTTTAATTAGAAGAAAACATGGAGATAATATGCTGAGAGAATATAAAAGAAAAGTGTATACTGTAGTGTTTAAGATGGATATCTTCTTATATTGAAATAATTAAGCCAAGGTCAAATAAAATTAATTTCTTGTTCCAGTGAAAACGTTTAGAGAATTCAATTTGTTTTCTTTAAAAATCAAAGGTGAACAACTCTGATAAAATGTAAAGTTCTTAAAGTTACAATTTCATATTTTTAAGTTATATTTTTAAAATGTATTAAAATAAAACCTTAAAATAGATGGTATCTATAAACAGTCCTACCTTGTTAAAGAATAATCCTATTAATCCTATAATTCACTATGCCAGTTGAGAAATTGGCAAAAATATCATTTTCAACTTCAAATTCAAATGTTTGAAGATAGCTATTCCTAGTGGGGAATAGGAAAACAGGGGAGGTAATTGGAAGGTAATTGTGTTATTATTTCCGGTGTGAAAATTTATAAGTGTGAGAAAGATATTGTATAATAGTGAGTTGACAACCTATTGAGCAAAAGACATAGAAATAATTATGTTTTGACTTTGTAACTTTTGAAATTGTAACTTTAAAGGATTAACCTTATGGGTTCTGAAATTCAACAATATAACACTATATTGAGAAATACAAGATATTTGTGAGGTTGACCATGATCTTATAAAGGTGAATACAGGTCGCTAGGGTTGCAAGGTGTTGAGGAGTACAAAAATTGTGATTTTGAATCTATTAGCCTAATATAAAAAATGGTACAAAGAATGTTTGCCAACACTGAAGGAAAGATGATGAGAAACAAGTGATATTTTATAACCATTAATGATTATTTTCTAATTCTAGGTCAAGTATTTTGTATTCCATGTGCAACCTGGAAGAGTTCACAGAAGAAAATTTGATGTCAATGGAAAAGAAATTGAACCAAACTTCAGTGAAACTACTAAAGTTATGACAGGCTACCTTAATTCGTCTTACAGTAAGTGCAAACATTGTCTATTTCTTACAATACATAGCACAGACAGTGTTTATTCATGTCATTTTACTATAAGTAAGTTATCCTTTAGTAACATTATCTGACAGCAAGTGTAGACATCTTCCAGTAAGTAGTGTAGACATCTTCAAGTAGACAGTGTAGACATCTTCCAGTAAGTAATGTATACATTTTCCAGTAAGTAATGTAGACATCTTCCAGAAAGTAGTGTAGACATATTCCGGTAAGTAATGTAGACATATTCCAGTAAGTAATGTAGACATATTCCGGTAAGTAGTGTAGACATATTCCGGTTAGTAATGTAGACATATTCTGGTAAGTAATGTAGACATATTCTGGTAAGTAATGTAGACATCTTGCAGTAAGTAGTGTAGATATCTTTCAGAAAGTAGTGAAGACATCTTTCAGTCAGTAGTGTAGATATCTTCTATTAAGTAATGTAGACATCTTCCAGTAAGTAGTGTAGACATCTTCCAGAAAGTAGTGAAGCCATCTTTCAGTAAGTAGTGTAGATGTCTTTCAGAAAGTAGTGAAGAAATCGTTCAGTAAGTAGTGTAGATATCTTCTGGTAAGTAATGTAGTTATCTTCCAGTAATTAGTGTAGACATCATCCAGTTAGTAATGTAGATATCTTCCAGTAAGTAATGTAGATATCTTTCGGTAATTAGTGTAGATATCTTCCATTAAGTAGACTAGATATCTTCCAGTAAGTAGTGCAGACATTTTTCAGGTGTATAGACATCTTCCAGTGAGTAGTGTAGACACTTTCCAGTCAGTAGTGTGGACATTTTCCAGTAAGCGATGCATGTAGGCATTATCTATACCTATCAGAGTAGACACCACATTACAGTAATAGTAAACACCATCTGATAACATGTGTTGATATCCTAGTGTTGGCAACATTTAACATTCAGTGAAGACATATTTTACATGCAATTGTCAGTGTAGACAATATCTAATTGTAAGTTTAAACACCACCTTACAGCAGAGTCATAGTGGACATCCTTATGTATGCATCATGTAACATTCTGTTTATATGGCTTAGTCCAAAACAGATGAGTTGGGTATTTTCTGTCTAAATGATTATAATCTTTAAGTGACATTTAGGGTTTGGGAAACAAATTAACGGAATACAATTTATGGGAAACAATCACTGGTTTTATTCTGAAAGCAAGGCGCTTCGACGGGTATCCTCTTATCGTTCCTTATTGTGCTTGATAATAAGAGGATACTTGTCGAAACGAAACGTGGTGCTTTCAGAATAAAACCAGTGATTGTTTCTCATAAAAATTGTGTTCCGTTAATAAATGATTATATTTGACCTAGTCTAAAACAGCCTGTTGTAATTGATTATATTTGACCTAGTCTAAAACAGCCGTTTATAATTGATTATACTTGGCCTAGTCTAAAACAGTGTTTTCCAGACTAATTTTTTTAACCTAGGCTAATGTTATAAAGTGTTTTCCAAATGGTTATACATGTACTTAGTCTAAAACAGCATTTTCCAACTGGTTCTACTTGGCCTAGTCTGAAACAGAATTATATTTGGCCTAGTTTAAAACAATGTTTTCCAGACTAAATAATTATTCTTGCAGAAACCGAGGCAAAGGGTAAAACAGATAAACTAACAGAACAAGAATTAACAGATCTTATTGTCAAACAAGAACTGAAGAAAATAACAGAAAAGACAGCACCAAATAATACTCTATCATTATGGATACAGGAATCACAGCTTGATAAGATGGACCTAGATAATGATGATATTGTTCGTATTAAAACTAGTGGATATAGTCCATTTATTTGTGAGTAAACACAGTGCCGTCCTTTCTCTCAGTACAGCGTCCAACCTCGTGGGTTTTCTCCGGGTCCTCCGGTTTCCTCCCACTGCTAAAGACCCCTACGCGCAAGTCAATTATTGAAATAAAGTAAAACCATATGTTAGTCCCGAAATGACCTAGTTTGTGTCGAGTGGACGTTAAACCCCATCTCTCTCTCTCTCTCTCTCTCTCTCTCTCTCTCTCTCTCAGTACAGCGGCTTCGGGTCAGCTGTGCAAACAATTTGGCCCAAAAGGGATAGGTGGAAGCAAGGCCTTCATTCTGATCCATTGAGAGCTTTCTAAAAGGCACAAGCCAGATTGTTTGCAAAAGTCTCAAAAGTCAAGAATATGAATCAATTTAATGTAAACGAGAAGTCTTTATAATTACCGAAAATTAAGACGATGGCTTACCTTCTCTCACTCTTACACTGGATAAGATATACAATGCCTTAGCATATGGTCCTCTCTGACAGCCGTTCTAGGTATTTTAAAGGAACAAGTGGATTGGTCGGTTATATTTAAAATAACTGCTCACAAAATCTTACATTGTTTCATTTTAAAGAACCCACTATCTGGCTATTTATTGTGTAGCATCAATAATTTTGATCTTCGTGACTATGTTTATACTGTAGTTAGTCATGGTTTTGATTCCCCGGTTGAACGCGACAAGGAGTAGAGTCGCCTGTCCAATCTCGTGGGTTTTTTGGGGTCCTCCGGTTACCTCCCACTGCTAAAGATCCCTATGCGTATGCGAATTATTAAAATAAAATTGAACTATATGTTAGTCCCGAAATGACCCAGTTTTTGCCGAGTTAAACCCCATTTTTGTCTCGTTCAGTTAGTATAGGAAGAGTTGAGGGCCAATCTGCGACAGTGTCTAACTTTGCTGGTGGAGAACAGGTGGGTGGTTCCTGGACAGATAAAATAATGGCCATGAAATCATCTGCCCCACAAGATGTAGAAGATAACGAGATTGGAGATGACGAATGGGTAAGTTACAGTTGATGTCGATAACAGATGTTATAGCTAGGGTTAGGGTTAGGGTTGGAATGATACAACAAATAAATATTACAGGGAAGGTTGTAATCTGTCCAAAAATACTTCAACTGAGCAGATGTTTTGGCAAGTATTATAGCTAAAGCACCCTTTTCACAAACTTTTGAAGCGGCGTTTTACAAAAAAACGTCATGTGGAAGGAATGATACGACAAATAAATATTACAGGGAAGGTCTATATGAAACTTGCAAGTTGTTGTAATATTTTTCAGGATGATTAAAAGATCTGGCAACCTGTGAATTACAGACTTCGAAAATAAACTTTTTATATATGTAAATAGCAGCATACAAACAGAAACACCATCAATGGTATTATAAAGACAACATGTGAACCTTTTAGGAGCACAAGAAATACATCCAACAATTATACTGAAAAATATTTTAATGGTTGGAGTGTGTTACAGAACAAAACTTGTAAGGCAGGGTGGTCATACTGACACCCGCTATCATAAATGAATGAATTATGCGCACTCATTTTAAAAGGTCATTTGTAAATGCTAAATATTGCTGACAAAATTCACTTCAAAAATCATTTGTTTAAATTGTTTATATATACATGTAAAATACTTTTATTTTGTACATATGCATCTATGAGTATCATAGTCGTTGGTTTCACTCGTGATCATAGTTATATACATCTAGTCTTCCACTAGCAATAAATATCATCTTCGCTAAATCGGATGTTGTCGTTATCGTTAGCGAACAATTACATTGTCGCTATTTTCCCGCTAATTTAGGCTCCCGGTAATTGTCATATATTGCATCAGGTCAGAACGTCCAGTAATCATACATAGCATCAGACTATGAAATAAAATGAAATGGGGTTAACTTCCTATTGTTCTGCTCCGACTGGGCTAATGAAAACGAGTGAACGCCATACAGTGACATCAGACTATGAACTTTTACGGTAACTATCATACTTCGAATCAGATAAAGAACTTTCACCGTAATTACCATACATAGTATCAGATTAAGAACTATCATATATCGCATCAGTACTTTCACACTGACATCATATATCGCATGGGTAGCCTACACAATATCATACTATCATATATATATATGCATTAATTTAACGATAAATAGAACGTTCACAGAAACTATCATATTATAGCATCAGTTCGCTACTTTCACATTGACTATCACATATCGCATTATCGCATTAGATTAAGAACTTTCACAGTAACTATCATATTAGAATTTTCACAGAAACTGTCATATTAGAATTTTCACAGATACTGTCATATTAGAATGTTCACAATGGGTCAATTCAAATCCCGGGTTAAGGTTGTCTTGTAGTAGTGTATAACTGGTGTTCTTTATTATGCCTTAACCCAAGCCTCTCAATTTTACACTGGTGTGTACACAGTGTCTACACTAGTTTTATGTTAAGACTGGTGGAACATAAAAAATACCACTATAACACTAGTGTTATTTTTAAATGCCCCACTTTCGTTTTGGGATCTTTGTTGAGTTTCTGTTGTCTCCATTTATTATATTCAATAGAAAGTTCATCTATTTGGTCATTATTTAGTCGAAATTTCCATTCTGGAATTCGCGAATCAGCAGGTCTGGTATCAACATTTCTTTATCATACGTTTTGGCCATATATATGGGTAAAGAAATCATTTTAAGTCATTTAAGTCTTAAAACTAAATCCGTAAGCCTTAAAAGAAATTCCCTTTTTGCCGTTGGTGCAGAACCGAGGGCCTGACAAGGCATCTGTCTAGTCGTTCGGGTGGGTCGAAAAACCGAGGTCTCGTGTATACATTGGCATGCACTTAAAAGATCCCTTGCAGTTGGAGTTCGATATAAGAGTAGGTCATAGTGCCGCTTCCCGGGCAAAATGTCCCCCACAGCACACAGTATGGCGTATGCCCGTCTTCATTAGCCCAGTCGGAGCAGAACAGTAGGACGTTAAACCCCATTTCATTTCCTTTTTGTCTTCTAGCTGTTGTTTCACACCAGTGACAGTGTTGTAATAAATGACTTGACCTGAGACTTTATTCAACACCTAGGGGTTAGTGTGAGAGTTATTTTTAATAAAATAATAACTGTTATCAAGATATTATTATCTAACAAGTTTATTATGTAATGTAATTGGAAATTATATTGCACAAATCTCCTTGTCTGATTATTTTTTCATGTAAATTTGTTTTCTTAAATCGGAAATTTGATATGGAAAATATAGACAAACTGATGGGCTCAGGTATAAGTTAGTGTTTGGCTAACACAGATACGACACTGGTGTTTATGTTGTGTAAATTTATCCATGTTTAACACAACCTGGTGTTGTTCTTAGTGTTTAACGTCAGCTTCCACCGAAGGTGATATCGCAGACAGCTAACACAACCTCAACACCACAGACCTTAAAAATACAGAGGATGGTCTGAGGATGAGTTAACACAGCATTACAACAGTGCTGCACTGATCTAACTGGTATTAAACACTGCACCACCTTAACCCATGACTTGAACTGACCCATTGACTGTCATATGTCACATCAGATTATAAAAACTTTCACAATAACTATCATATCAGAATTTTCACATTGACTATCACATGTCGCGCCAGATTAAGACTCAGAGAAATTAGCGTATATCGCATAAGTTATAGAACTTTCACGGTAACTCATGCGAGAGATTTCGCTTCAGTTAAGACCCACAATAATTATCGTATAAGTTAAAGGAGCTAAATCGCTAATATTTGGGACCTAGAAATTGACACAAATGGATTGCAACGCATATATAATAATGTAATATGAGTGTATATAAACTGAAACGCATTATGGTACACGATTCGTGTACCAATGGTAAAATGATTATTTTGTCTTAAATATTGGATATCAGAAGCCCACCTTTTCCCGGTAAGATCACAATATCAATGTTGATTTGAATTGACAAATAATTCGTGTTTTCAATGTCGAAGACTTTAAATGATATTGAGTTAGAGACTTAGCTACTTTAAAAATCACAATTATATATGACATCAGTGCACACTCATGCTGTCTGTCATATGTGTTGCTGTTGTTTCCCATTAATCTATCGTTCGTATCATAAATATATGTAAGTGTGTATATCCATTTAAAAAGGATTCATACCGATCGATAGGATGAGTCCCTTCACCAAACTAAATAAAATCCGTTCCATTGCGTTTCAGTGGCGCGCGGCTAATACCACTGGCAGACCGTTAAAGATTCCCCCAAGGATTGGAAATCGAAATAAGAGTAGGCCGTAACCCCGCTCTACGGGCAAAATATTTTAATCATAGCACACTGCAAGGCGTAATAATATACCCATCTTCATTATTCCCGTGGGTACAGACATTAAGATGTTAAACCCCATTTCATTTTTTATTCTAACTATATTATCGATTTAGTGCTCAATATAAATTGAAATCAACAATGGCACTTTAAGTGTTGTTCTGTTAAATTAATTATAAACAAATAATCCATCAATGACTATATTTATATATTGTACCCTTGATGATTAGATTACACTGAGTAACCCCAGAGGATGACATGTGAACGATGATTTCATTATGGGGTTAACTACCACACTAAAACAATATTCCCTTACTTATGGTTTTAAGTCGGGGTCATTTAGGATAGAAACATTGATTATTTCAAAGGAGTTTCCTTTAATGCATTTATTTTCTTATCTCATAAAACAAATCGATATTCATAAGGGCGTACCTATAGTTAATTCAAGTTATAAGCTTTCGCTAATTATGAGAAGTGCTACACTCACACACCTACATAGAGGGATTCCAGGATTAAGATTAACGAGAATTATGAACAACGGTCTAACATTGTTAGATGGAATCGGGGTCATGTTCCGCCTCTAAAACCCCCGCCTCTGAAATTTCTGTTTCATTTAGTGTAATATTCCTGTATTTTATAACTAATTTCCCATGAGCATATTATAGTTTTTATAATACAAAATTTGATTATCTTGTTATTTGTATGAGAAATGGTTAAAGTTATGAGTAATCATTGGAAATACAAATCTAAAACACAAAAATCGGTTGCTAGGGTTACCTAGCTATAAGTTGTGGCCGTCTTGTACGAGACAGAGTATGCTTAATCTTTTTACCACACCCGATACCTCTTCCAGGAGTTGGCAATATATAGCTAACAATTTTCTATAATGGTGTACTGCACAAGCGCTGTGGATGCTGAGGCTTGGTGGTAAGGTATATTGATACATAACGCCGTGAATACGAATTTAGCCCCATGCCTCCCGTTTCCGAAATGTTTTTTTACGCCACAGATAGCATGCAGTATCAGCGAGTTTGATACCAAATTTTGGTTTTTGGTAGATTAGTTTTAATTTTAGCTTTAATACAACAGTTTTCTTATATGACAATGTCTTATATATGGCGCGGACAAATTAATTGTCGTTACTCATCGACACGAAACGAAATATATAATATATCAGCAAAAACTGTTCTTCTCTCAAATTTATGACCATTTGCGCAAGAGTGTGTGTGTGTGCGTGAGAGAGAGAGAGAGAGAGAGAGAGAGAGATGGGGTTAAACTATGCTCAAAGAAATCCACATGTGCTGTAGGTGGCGTAACAGTATGCCCTCGATACATTTTTTGGATACGTTATATTTAATTTTGGAGCAATTTCATAATCCCGAGAATAATTGATCACAGTTCACAGTTGATTAAACAGGGCTAAATCTTCTATTGCAGGTCTTTCATTAGGCCTTAAATGTTATATAACTTATTAAAGATAATGTAACGGGAATATTCTGAAAATTTCAGTCAAATAACTTCACTCTAAGCTGAGAAATATTCATATTAAATACCTTGTAGCCTCTATTGTCATAGTTGCCGTTGTGACGGAAATAAAAATAGTCTCGATTATCCCATTTTGCGTATAATCATCAATGGCTGTTATTCGATAGATCGGATTAAAATCTAATGAAAATCGGAGACGGAAGCATCAGATGGCATCGATAGTTGATTATGGTCTTATCATGTTAATAAATGTCTAATTAATAGTTTATATAACATTTCAGGCCTCAAAAAAGAACTGCAATAGGCAGATTTAACTCTTGCATAATGTATGTGGGGGCGGGGGCATGGTGGCTAAGTGGGTAAGACACTGGCTCGCTAGCCTGGAAGGTCGGGTGTTCGAGCCCGGCATTGGCCGAGGAAGTTCATCCAGATTTTCCGGCGTGGCTCCCCCTTGTCAGTGATACAGGATGGAGGGCCCGACAAGGACAGCTGTCTAGTCGTTCGGATGGGACGGATAGTACAAAAAACGAGGTCCCGTGTACACATTGGCGTGCACGTAAAAGATACCTTGACATTTGGAATTCGATATAATTTCCCTCATAGCACACTGTATGACGTATGCCCGTCTTCATTAGCCCAGGTCGCTTCATTTCATTTCATAATGTATGTTTAATTAGGCAATTATTAACATAATCAACCCTCGATGCCATCGGATTGCTCAGATTTTAAGTAGATTAGAACGGTTCGGCCATTTACTGATTCAATTTACAACTGGAAAGGCGAGGCTAGGAATCGAATGACCAGTGCAGCATGGCGGTTACGATCAATGCACACTTCTTACCAAGACTACAACCATTGATAACTTTGCTCAAAATAAAGTAATTTGAATGAAATTTTCAATATATTCATTTTGCATTATCTATTTTCGAAATAGTATAGCGAGACCGACCAGCTCTTTATATTAATCTTACATAATGTCCTTTTAAGTTTAATCCTTGGAAAAATTTCCAGAAATTATACTTGGGGTGGGGGAATAGCCTAGGGTTATAATCTTGATTCCCACCCCAACCTCAAAGATAATTTTGTCAGGTGATGCATGGTGAGGACATGGTAGGGTTCGTCCACAACTCTTATTTGGGTGGCCTAAGAGGGACAGTGGTCACACATAGACACCTGCTATAGCTTACCACATCCCAATATGATTTCACATAAGGGCACGTTGATACTGCTGTCACGTGTAAATTGTATAATTTCTGATTGGTTTAATTTATCTTCTGCTCATTACGTCATCAGCGTTAAACGCAGAAGTCTGACATTATATGGTACACTACTATCGTCCGACACAGGTGCAAATTCAGGCGTTACCAATATATGTCAAGAATTGTTTGTAAGTATCATTTCTGTTCTCACCATTACAATAATGCTAACACGTTAAATTTCAATAAAGGCCGAGAACAACGTCGTCGAGCATACTACGTTAGGCCTATGTAAGCCTCTGAGTTGTCAATAAAGCTCATTAGAAATTCACAAGAAACCCGTCTTGTAATTAAAAGCCTAGCTCGTTTACATCGTAAACTATTAAAGGAATCAAAGCTAAGGTTATGGAAGGCAGCATGCATACAAATAACTATGTGCCAATAGATCACCCAGTCCCAACAAAGCCCAGCTTAACCGGGGCGGGGCCCCTAACCGTAGCCTAATGCGACGTAAGATTATTTCATATCCTTTCGAATGGCACGGCATGTGTAACACACAAGTAATCGGCCTGTAATACAAGAATAATTACATAATATCTGCCGTTTGAGTCCCAACATTAAAGCACCTCTGTCTCTGTTGAAAAATTATATTGCCGCCTTTTTTATGTGAGCCTATTAGGAGGCCTATACAAAATTTGCACGAATTTATCGAAGAATATTAGTCGAAGATGTTTCTTTTGAAAGAAAAATCACTAGTACTTTTACTGTCCGATATATGCTATCCAAAAAACATAGGCCTACAGCTGGCACTACACCCCCACCCCTACCCCAAGCCCCACCCCAATCCCCCTGAGTTGATGGCCACCGACACTGTATCGCAAAAGGCAAGGAAATGGAGGCGGTAAATATTTTTTAATCTCCCCTCTATCTCCGACGAGCCTCTTATATACGTCTGGCTCTTCTTCCTGGCAAACATTTGTCTGCGATACCACCCTAGATGGAAGCGGACGTTAAACTCCAATAACGAACGAACGAATTAAGATTTTTTTAACAGTACAGCTCAATTCAATCAAGCCGTAGCAACATAGCAGAGTAAATTGGTCGAGTCGGAAACACCACTCTCCATAGTGTAGAAGTTGTTAATGAACTGATAATCCTCGTAACCATTCCTTCAGGAATATGTGTTTTAGTATTGTGTTTTGTTGAACTGTGAGTGCCGAGTACTTGTGATGATATATCAGTTCTTGTCCTTGTTATTGTTAAGTTGCCATTCAGTACTCTTTTATCGATTCATCCCTAATTGTACGCATTAAGGTGGGGTTCAAGGTTTACTAAGTCCGTGGAAGGCAATTGAATCATTCTATGCAATATACATGTATTACCAAACAAAATTCCAATATTTACTCAATTACTTACAGAACCAGCCCGTTATGGTTAGTCAGCACCAAGTTTGGAGTGTATATCGATGTACATTATACCATAACAGATAATCACATTTGTTTGTCATAGCTTGTACCAGTTGGTCATATGCTCTGTTTAGATTGATGGTGTTTATTTATTGGGGAGGGATTTTTAAGTGACTTGTTTGTAGCACGGGGTAGGTTGGGGGTGGGGGGTTTCATATTATTTGAAAATGTTTTCAAAACCACGTTTTTACCTTGACTGCGTTCTTCTTAGTGCGACCATTCCCCGATTAATCATGAGTTAGTCCAGAAAGGGCCTAGTTATGTGGAGTGTTCACGCACAAACAGATCACGTGTAGAGTCTGTTCTGGGTGATTATGCGCATTCGCTTTGTTTTGTGGACAATTCTGACAATGTTTCTGTTAAGGCAGGGTTGTCAAACATGCCTCCCGCCAAGGGTTTAAATGTGGCCCGTGGAACAAATTTCAACAAACTGACGTGTCGATAATTCTTAGAAACTAGCGGTGGAAATCATTTATTATTGTTTTCCAGTTTCAGTCATATATATCTAAGTTATATGTAATACAAAAGAACGTTGTGTTCAATATTATATCTTGGTAATTTGGAAACCAGTCTATAAAAAAAAACAGTGTCAAGTACGTTTGGCTTTGTTTTTAGAATTCAGTAAAGTTCAATTACGTTTGGCTTTATCTCCGCCCCGGCCCACTTGATGTAAACTTTTAGTTGATGTGGCCCCTTAATCGAATTTAGTTTGACACCCCTGTATTAGGGGTTATAGCCTTTCTAAACCCATTTTTTCAGCCACTTTTACCTTAAAGAAATATTTAACTACCGGTTGTCGAACGGTTACCAAGGCCATTTCCTCTTTTGTTTGTATGAAAAATATTTGTACAAAAGAACTTGAAAACAGGACTTAAAATGAACCAATTTATTTCTGTATTTTCTATCAAACAAAATGTTATTAATAGCTCGTTTTTAATTTCACACAAAGCAACAAAGGGAAGTACAGACACCTTGCTACTTAAAATAATGTGCGTTGATATTTGATAAAATTAGCTGCCTTACAAACAGAAAGAGGTATTTATGTGTAATTGCAAGAGCAAAACTGTTATCTTTTCGGGCATTATAGGTTCTATATAATAAATTCATAATATTGTATGATATATAGCTAATTGTAAACCATGTCGGAAAAAAAAAGAAAAAAAAAAGAATATCACAAATATATACTAATAATTAGGTTATAATTTATGTACATACATGATTTGTAATATACAAAATTGATGGCTTGGTATAATATATATCATTATGATAGGCACATTTGATGACAGATGGTTAAGCAAAGAAGATATGGAATCGTGTTCTTAATTAGCCCGAAATTTCTGACTAGTTAAGCATGGTGTTAATGCCTTGCTCAGATGCCATTATTGGGTGAATAAACAATTATCGTTACATTTATCTAAAAATTCAAAAATTTCGGACTGTATAGAAATGAACAACATAAAGATATGTGCTTTAAATGATGTTTTATATATAAATTAAGATGTCGATATATTTATATAATTTATATAATAAAATACAACCGATAATCCTTCAGTCTTAAATATTACCGTTCAGTAACAGAACATAATTTTTATGGGAAACAATAACTGGTTTTATTATATAAGCACGACGTTTCGACAATCCTCATAGTACTCGATAATGATAATAGGGTACTTGTCGAAACGTCGTGCTTATATAATAAATAAACCAGTGATTATTTCCAATAAAAATTGTATTCTGTTACTGTGTTTATGTGTTTCTCTCTAACACTAAATGCCACTTCAAGATTACTTTCCAGTAGGCTTTCATATCTCTTGTACGTGCCACACAGTTTGTATATATTTATAATCTGTTAGTTTTATGTACAATGCCAATGTGCCATTCTTCAGGTCTTAATGCCATTATTAGTTTTATATTGTTTGCCGTCTATAGGTCTTAACTTTATAACTCAACCAATATATATAGAGAGAGATATATGTTAAAAAATAATTTTAATTTCAACATTATTATATTCATTTGGCAGATTTACAAATGCAAAAACAAATTTATTTTTCAGAAAAAAAAAATCTAATAAAATTTAAATAATTAAACTTACAAGTTACTATAAAATACAAAGGTGCGTTGTGTTCGTTTATTATTAAAATTCCATTCTAAAAAAAAACGAAACAAAAAATCTACTGGAAGCAATTTACTCATTAATTTTGACATCGCGATCATTTAAATGGAAATTTACAAAACGCAATAACGTTCCTGGTATTAGATTTAAAATCCCAGTATTTCACATGCTACTTGTTTTATGCTCAAGTCAATTAGCAGTGGGGAATCATAAAATCACAAGCAATACATTTCAAGATTATTCTTTACGATTTAATGGTGAAACTTTGCTTAAAAAAGGAATATTCTATTATGTGCAATATTTTTTTTTTATTGACTTATTTTAATAAAATATACACCTATGACAAATTCAGTAAAATTATTATAGATACACAGTTTTTTTTTTTAAAAATCGGTTGTTTAATGAATAGATATTCGGTTGTTAATTAATGACCTTTTGACAAACAATGAGTAATCTTGTATATTTCTTTTAGAAACATTTTATAAATACAAATAGTAAAATGTGTTTGTATGTAAATACTACAGACAAATAAATATTTACATACAACAATTGGGTTTAATTGCCGAACATATTATATAGTACACTGCATCATTCATGATTTATTTACAGTAAATGAAAATCGATTAAATTTATTGATAATTTCCCCAACAGGTGCCGACCACACACAGAGAATGAATCTTAATTTTTCTATTATATTAATTGGTTTGAATCATATAATGATTACAAAATGGGAAGTTTGTTTGGTTCATGTTGACAGTCATTATAGTAATATCTATTTGATCGATCTTGTAAGTTATATATCTGCTGGTTGCTTGACGATAACTTGCCAATTTTTAGTTATTTTCGTGTTTGGCAGCATCGTATATTTTGAATGCACAACACAGGGCAAGGGGTGCATAACCAAACTATGTTTGTCGCACTTACTGTACCCCCTTAATCCCGATTTTGGCAGACCTATATATTCATGGCACTCGTTAATTCCAATTGATAACGATTGGTTTCTGATTATTGTTAATACGGCGGTTTATCTAAACTTAACATAAAACAAGCTGTATCTTCTACGGTCATACATACATAATTATATATAATCACCACTCCTAATATTTTTATAAAATACAAAATATTATATATATTTATAAAACATTTGGCACATTCTCAGTGACCTAGCATACAAAAATCCTGCCACTTTTCGAAAATACTGTAATTTATTATTACCTAATGCCTCTACTGACAATATTCATAATCTTCTTCCACCAAAATGAGCATTCAGATTTATACAGTAGCTTTACAATGATGTCACAGAATCAAAGAGACACTGTCAAACTGACTATCTGACTAAATCAGGTATTTATTACGTTTCACTTTATTTTGGATATGTAAAATCCGAAAAATAAAAACAAAAACGAAATTGTAATCCAATTTGTGATTATTTATTGTAGTGAAGAGATGTTTCAACAGTAAAAACACCAACAATGCCCCTGTAAATTTTTAAAAAAGGGAATTTAATTTTTTACTTTGGTGCTTACTTACTTAAATTTTCTCTTGAAAGAGTATTTTGTAACTATAAAACATCGATGTTAAAGCAATATTCTAAGTCTAAATATATCACGTGCAAACAATTGTAAATTATAAAACTTCGTTAAATTACAAAGTTTTTGAGGTATGTATAAGGTTATATATGTATAATGTTTATAAAGTAAAAAGACAAAAACAAGTTTTAAACTACATCATAAAAACGGGTATAGCCGGAATCACACATGTAATTATAGCTATGACAATCCATTGCTTAGACATTTTGGTGACCTACTGGACAAAGACAGAAGACACGGCTTCTAATTTACTGACACTACGAATCCGTCTTAATAGTACAATGCCCCAGAAGACCAATAGTCATTATTCTTATTTAAATACCTTTTATAAACACTGCTCAACTGTGCATTTTTGTACGTCCATACCTTATATTGTGTATAGACTGAAAGTCTATATTTGCCTTTTAGTTTGGAATATTATGAATGCAAGTTTCGTGAATCGTTAGAGTTACCAGCGGTATTGTAGATTTTAAGTTTAAACTTATAGAAAGAGATTTACGTTTTAGAGGATAAGGCTCGTAATCATAAAAAGGTAGTAGACTTGCGTCATTCTTTTTAAAAAGAATAGCCTCTGGTTGCGATAGCTCCAAAGGTTCGTTCAGACTCTGATTTTGTCTTTATGGATGTTTTAGTCTGCCAAACTCTCTTGTCAGGGGTTGTTTATTATTCAGATGAACTTGTAATCTACTACGTATATTTCAAATGGTCAATACATAAATGAACTATTTGGGTAAATACTACATGAACTTTCAGTGATCCAAGTAGTTCCCGAGATGGTACATATAGTTTGGTCAAACAGGGATATAAACTTCAAAAAGAAAATCTATCAATGTCAAAAATAATTCTAAAACAATCAATGCATATGGTTACAAAAGGAATACACAAGGTGAAAAGTAAAAGCGATATACACATATTTACATTTTATATATCGTATTAAATCGTCGATAGCCCAAGTTCTCAGTAAATGGATAACTCACATTGTTGGCCTATTCGTTTCCTTATTTCCTTTATCAACCCCTGATTTTTAAATCGACATACTCGACTTTCATATTGTAAACAATATATTTAAGTGCTTACATTCATTGCAAAATAATACAGCGGTTTTCATTAGTCCTTCGAAACTTTAAAACATTGCTAGACCAATAATTGCTCGATATTTTATATTGGAATTTTGAATTTGGTATCTTTTGAGGCATACATTTCTAAAACTTAACAGGCATATATTCTATAGTACGAACTGTGGTAGATGAGCCTATCCCTTCAAGACACTGCTCGTGTTGCTAAGCTAGATTTTGTTGGAATATTTCTGTTCTGTGTAAGTGTGTTATGCACTAATAAAGTTTTAATGCCACCGAACAATGATCAATTAAAAACTTGGGATACCGAAGATACAATATGTACAAATATATATTACCACTTGATTTCCATTGGTAAATGAGCAAGGATGGTATTTTGTTCTGGGTCGAAAATCCCAGTAAAACGTATGATGTTATCACAAAGAAATATATTATATGATTTGCGATGTTATGTTTAAATGATGTTATAGATGATAAATACAACCACAGGTTGATGAAATAATGAGGTTGAAAAGATATTTTTTAGAATAAACAAGAACATCCGTCAATTTGTGATTGCTATGAGCAAGATCTTCAATGACCAACACTGGACGTTTAAAAAATACGCCGATCTTTCGCAGACCTGAAAATATACACCTTCTATGGTCACATTTATATGGTTCTGATCTTCAAATTCATATGGACATAGTGAGATTTGATACAATGTAAATGGTAACGAATGCGATTACAATGTACGGTGATGATAGGAAATAAAAATCTAAATAGGGAAATAAAATCTAAATATCCTACATTAATAATATTACCACCAGTAATTAATTAAAGTGGTGAAAATAACGGTGAGTAGTTTTTGTGTTATATTTCAAAACCTCCAAAATCTGGATAATGATCTGTTAATCGCGCAAGACAAACGTCACTACTTATGTTATAGCCAACTTGGGCTATTGTTTAAAAATTGATTTGGAAAATCAAAACTGGCTGGATAGAAGACCAATGTCACCAACCCAATGGTTAAAATACAAGGAAATTTGGTAAGCTGTGAAGTGGTTTTGCGTATTAAAGAAAGAATGTCCACATCCTGACTCGTATTCGACACCAGTTACTACTACTAGCGGACTGAGTCGACGATTAACTTATGCTGTCTCAAAATAGGCTTGAAAAAGTTCTGGTAGCAAGTTGTGTAAGTTTATGGACATATTTCCGAAAGTGATATCTTCTCATTAAACAAAGATGAAAATTTGCAATATCAGAAATGTTAAATACGACACCCACATAAATAATCAAGGTGTCGCACTCCTCCATTTTTCTGGAAATCTAGATCCATCACTATGCAATGCATATCAATGACCTAGTTGACGAGATGACTTTGTCATATATCACAGAAAGTTAAAAAGTTAATTTACCAGTAGGGTTACGCCTTTATAATTATATTAAATATGCATAATTAAGCCGTAAATAATGATTGCGTTAGTTACAATATGTCCGACTATATTGGGTCATTTCAAGTTTAGTTTGATCAGAGTTGAGTTAGTGTCCATTTGAGTTAGTCCATAGTTAGTACCGAGTTAGTAGGTTTTGAGTTTTACATTAAGTACACTTACACATACATCTTAACACTTTTGGCAAACGAGTTACTACCAGTTCTTTAACTAGGACATTGCCTTAATGCACTCGCCTAGAGCCAGACAACTAGAATTTAAATTTTATAGTCTAGGTCATCTAGACATCTATTTACTTTTATTCTTTGACAAGCATTAACACTTACTTGACTAAAAAACACTCGACCCTAGAGATTAGTGTTAGGGTAGTTTTATTATGTGAGAAGAAATGGAAAAATCGTGTTTATTTTCATGATGGTGTTAAGTCTTAAGAATTATTCATTTTAGTGATTCATGTATGTTTTCATTTCTAAATACCGGTACAAGAAGGTTAAATTTGGAGGATAACACCCGTGATCCGTCTAGACAGACATGAGCAATTGTAGCCAATCTAGGTATTGCAGTCTAACACCAGAGTGAACATCTCTATTACTGTACACAAATTTAAACCAAAACTTGAAATAACCCAACGGATGGACAAGCGGCGCTTAATTGAAATCTGAGTTTTTCATTTGTTGCTTTATAATGACATATATATATATGTGAAATGAAAATCAACTGTAAGAAGGGTTATTTTCCTTTATTATGAATTCCGGATATGAAGCCAGTTTCCTTTACCCTGATTTATACCAAGTAAATGAATGGAAAAGTGACAAAAAGATTATATATACAAAATTACAACAGAATTTTAAGAAGTGTTATCTATCACTATATCAGTTGTAACTTTAATTTGTAAGTTAATTTCAAAAATTGGAACGCAATGACAGTTTGTTTTGCGAACATTTATAATCATTACTTGACTGAGACAGAAAGATCACTCCTCATCTATGCCATGTTTACATACATTGGCATAATACCAAGTTTATGTACTTAAATGGTTGGTGCAAAAAAGTAGGACGTTAAACCCCATTTCATTTATGTACTTAAATTAAATTAAAATGTTGTTTAATATTCGTTTTTCCTTTTTTATATTCGGGACAGAGTTATTTTGAGATTTGGAATTCTGTCAAAAGAATTCTTTTTAAAACTATTTAAGTGAGTCGAATATGATTTATTTATGTACATCTATAATTTTGTTTATTTGACTGTTGATACATTGGATTATTGAATTTTTGTATTAGATCGCACTTTAGGATCGAATACTTCATTTTTATTACTACTCGTGATTTCCTCAAAAAGTGAAGATAGGGTAACTACAACAATTTATAAACTGTAACACGAATTAATGAACAATTATTTATATCATTTAAACTTAACTATATGATAAAAACAGCTATAGTCGTATATAATACAAGAAGGGTTTTTGTAGGCACACCAGATTATGCGATTTTAGTTGAAGGGAATGCTGGGTTCAAAGTTATATATCTTTTTAATACATGTTCAAGATGATACAGTCGGGATTTCTCGGAATATGGTGAACGTAGCTCTGTGCGAATCATGACAGGTCATGAATCCACGATAGTCAAGGTTACACAAGTGATCTAAATAAAGATCACGTGACTTATTGAATGAAGACGCATTGTCGCGTGTGCTGCAAATAGTTGGCAGCGTACTGAATGATTAAAGAAACAAGTCAAGTCCATAGTGCTGGGAAATACACCACGGTTGCATATGCCTAGATAACAATTTTTGTAGGCTCATCAGTTGTATCTTACACATTCTGGTGTGTCTACAAAAACTCATATTTATTGCCTGATACAAATACAAATCTTGAGTTCCATTTTCTTAGTTCAACACAGTTTGTTTTTTGTTTTTTTATAGCTTTGATCGCGTTAAAATGTCAAAATTGTTTAATATCTAATCTGTCGAAAGTGCTTCGATTGAAATAACGAGAAGGATTGTATGTCATTCGCTTTGAGATTTAACGTCCTCTACCACAATAGTGATATGGCATACTGGCACAGATATCTGGAAGATGCGCCGAGTATGACGTTATTATCAGACGTCATCAGAATTCGGAGACTGTCGGATTGGTAAACTAGAAATTGGTCTTTATTATATGGCGACTATCCGTTCGGTTAAACTAGAAATTGGTCTTTATATGAAACGAATAAGATGTATATTTGAATCAGAATAAAAAGTGTTAGTACAAGTATATATAATATAATATGTATAATGAGATTGAGCTAAATGATGCTGATTTTGTTTTATATTAAAGCAGCTTTTAATAAGGATATATCACAGAGAAATTAACAACTAGGATAATAATATTAACATGAAAATGTAACGAGTAATGATAATAGTATATATATATTTATATGATAACAAGTATTTATAATATGATTCTAAAACTCGACAACAGCGATGCAATAACGAGATATCTGATGGATTTCCGGTCTGTCCTATAGAAGAGACATTTCAATGGTTCAAAATTGTGTATTATTTGGTGTTCTGTGATTGCCTCGCCTCTGGCAACAAATACGTCATATAATTCATATTATCAGTGAATAAACCAATAATATGAAGTTAAAACTTATTAACCTTAAATATCAAAGGTGTCAATATCCACTCGGATAAGGTCTGTACTTATGTTAGTTGCATAATATTTTTTAAAACTTTAACATTTTGGGAAATGTCTTCGACGCAAAGTTGTACTGAAATTTTCAGAATTCTTGAAGTCCATCGCTGTTGTGGAGATAGGATTCTACTATCTACAACGACTATCACTAATGGAGATCAATATGAAGGGGACGTGTGCATAATGATGGGTGGTGTCATGTGACATCTGCTGACGTTGATTGGCCGGTTGAAACTAATTGACATTTGTGGGTGTGGTCATTCAAGATTTCTTCCAACTTGTTTCTCTCTTCATACAACTTTGCTATCTCTTCTTGTAACGAGGTATTATCTGTATCCAGTTTCTCAGCTTCCTGTAAACAGTTCAAAGGGAAACAATCAAAGGATGGGTAAATGACACAATTCCTTTAATGGCAAATAGCTCGAATACGCACGTAGTCAAATTTTCTTTAAGGGAGTGTTTGGCAGTTTGTTAATATCATGGAACTTATAATAAGGTCAATGTTAATATTTAAAGATATGACATACACATGTTCAGTGAAAAGCAATTTTGTTAATTTGTGCAAATTGTACTTTCGTGCCAAATAAACCGCAAATTCTGAAGGATGCAGATGTCATCTTTCTTAAGGCCAAACCTTGCCACTAATGAGATTTATACCTTGTAAATTATATCAAAATTGAAACAGGGAATTTAAGTAATAGACGCACCTTCATTAAGTTATCGCCGTCCTTCCTTTTCTTTTGGCGGAATTTTCGGGCAGCTCGCCTGTTCTGTTCCCGTCTTTTGTTTAGTTTTTCGATCTCATCAGGTCTTGGCTGAAAGAAATGAGAAATAATAAGGTCAAATTTTATTTTAAAAACCCAACGTTTCAGTCGTATACCATAAGGTGAAAGGATTACCCCAAAACTGTAATGTTCCCCTCCTTATTTACTATAGCAAAAGTACATTTGCAAACGAACCGAATCCGGGAACCACAAGAACAACTCCAAAATGTGCACCTTCACCAACTTCAGCAATGCTCTTATCACCATGCTTGTACAAAATGACAACATTTACCCCACCCACCTTTGCTCTAGTAACGGTAGAGTTCAGAACATTATGACCGGTAACGGCTTCAAAAACTATAGAGAAAAGATGCGGTTACACAATGTATTTCGCCGAGATCAATTAAAGTGACAATGCAGTTGCAAACACTTAAAGGCCCACATAAAGTTCCCCGTGGTGGTAAAAATTAAAGTCACTAAATCTGTTATAGATTCAACAAATAAATGCACGTGTCAAATATCTAATTCAAAACACGTGTACGAATAATAATTGTGATTTCAAATTTTTTGGGTGTTTAGTGTTTACGTTAATGAAGACAAGCGATCAACTCTCGAACTGAAGAGCTTGGGCTTTGCAGATAGCAATAATTATCATATATAATATTTTCATACCACAATATGAGATTGTATTGTATACATGTACCATAATAGACCAGGCCCCAAGTTAACCCAAAAATGGGGGAGGGAAAATTTTCAATTTTGAGGCTGAATTTGCGATATTGGCGTATTAGGATATTTTGATATGAACATTGTAAAAATTTGAAGGAGAGAGAGAGAGAGAGAAATGGGGTTTAACGTCCACTCGACACAAACTAGGTCATTTCGGGACTAACATATGGTTTAATTTTATTTCAATAATTCGCTTGCGCGTAGGGGTCTTTAGCAGTGGGGGGAAACCGGAGGACCCGGAGAAAACCCACGAGGTTGGACAGGCGACCTACTCCTTGTCACGTACAACCGGGGATTCGAAACCACGCCAGTTGACTCAATGACAGGTCGTATGATACAGCACGCACCGTCGGTTTGCGGTCGATTTCTTGGTTGGCGCCCATTATCTCGTCGTGGAGGGCACCAATCTGAGCATTATGGGCGCCCCTCCAGAATGAGGTACCCACCAATCATGCCGTTTTGGGCACTTTATTGCTCAAGTCGTGGGAGCCTAACCAATCTCATTCGGCATTATACATTATGTGCGGCCCGACGATCATAATTGTCATTATAAGGCGCCCCATCAATCATGTCATTTTGGGTGCCCCTCCGGGATAAGGCACCCCACAGATCACGCCTTGTTTGGTGCCCCATCAATCAAGTTGTGGTTTTAATCGTGTGATTCAAATAACGACATGATTGGCGTAGCGCTCATTAAACCATGGACCCCCAACCAATGTCACTCGGCTTTCTGGGGCGCCCATACTGATATTGGAACGTTGGTCGTAATTGGCTTGGTATTGCGTCCAATGGAAAGGTGCATATTTTTTCCAAGACCTTGCCCCCCCCCCCCCGCTAGCTACGGGTTGTAGACAATGTTCGAAGGAGCTAAAAAGTATAAGATACGTTTAATGATATTTAGATGTCACACGAACATTTGAAATCCATTTTGTCCATTTACAAAAATAGTTTTGTTCGAGACTTTACCAAAGTTGACAAATGAATTAAAATCCAAACCAATGAATGAAAATAAAACTTTTTAAAGAGATGTTTCCTCTTTCTATAACATCTAGCATCACCACATGACTAACAAGCATGCTTTTGATTGATGTACTTCCCTATTTTGATTTAATAAGGTAGACGGTTCCTAATTTTGGAAGAAAAATGAAAACATGTTATCATCAATATAACATCCGTTCATCATTTACTGATATTTTCGTATTTTCCTTAAAGAGCCAAAATGAACTAAAAAATTAAAATTTGTTTGCCAAATTGAACATCGGGTACACTCTTGGATTGTTATGTATTTTCAAAGGTTAATCGGTAGCGAAAACGAGACAGAACTATATCAATTAATTATAATGAACTAATTAGGTGATTTGAACTAGTCACTATCCTATAATCAAGTGGATCATAGACGTCTCCTGGGAATCGTTGTGAGCTTCTTACTATCAATCAACTATAATCGAAGGGAACATTAATTAACATTTCCTTAAAGGTACGGGATGACCAACATATATTCTTGAAATGTAGCCATGTCCTGCCTGACCCATGACAATATACCAATGCAACTAATAAACAATGAAGCACAACTGCTAGAAAGAAATGAAATAAAATGAAATGGGGTTTAACGTCTTACTGTTCTGAGCTAGAAAGAAAAACTTCAGACAAATATTTCAGAAGATTAAAATACTAATACAAATAAGCACTAGTTAAATTAACCCATTTTGTTGGTTAATGGGCGTTGCATTTAGCCACCGAGAACAGTGATGTGTTCTTTAATCTTGTTGCTGCAAATCGGATGAAGAGGGACAGGAGGAATAATAATAATTATACGGGAGTGAGGCGGCTTCGGGAAACACCTAGTATTTTACAAAACATGACGGGAGTCCATTACGTATCCTTTGAATGATATCAACAAAACATCCCTATAATTAAATTCAATTAATGTTATTGGATAACATACATAGGGAAAAAAATACACAGACGTCATTTGCTCATTCAATATTCGCCACTTTTGGCTGGACGGACACTGTACATTACATACTATATAATCAGCGTAAGATAGTATCTTTAAACCAACCACTATAAAGGATACATCGTGAATATTTAAATAAGTCGAGCTATTTCATTCCATTTCTACACAAATATAGTAACTGATTTCAATCTTTAAACGCAACTGACTTAGATCAGAACATCGATAGATCAGCACTATTAAGATAAATATCTAATACATTACAAAGCCTATAAAGCCTGGCAGTAACAATTGATATTGGTATTATTGTTATAATTAATAAAGCTGCATCTGTAACATGCAACTTTTATCACAAAACCAGGCCAAATTGGATGATTTATCACGAAATTAAAATATATGTCAAAATGATTTACTTCCAAAGTGATGATGATTATGCGAAGGCTGAACGATGAATAAGAATTAATGTAGCACAATTATTTTGACACAAACCTAATCCAAGTATCGTCGATTTAAATTTTAAGTAGTAGTCGAACCCCACATCCTTGCATCCTGACAAGAACAATAACTCGTTTACCAATTGCATATACTATAAAAGAAAATGAAATCTTTTTTTAGAACTCAAATCGAATCTGTGATATCATGGTGTGCTATGCAGCATGAAATAAAAGACACTTCGAATAATAGCTGGGTGACCTATAAACAATTCACACAGGAAGTCGATTTCTAACACTTCTCAAATGCTCTAATAAGATTAAGCCCCATTCTGTCTGCAAGACGCCGGTGCTTATGCAGTAGCTTATTGGTTCGATGGTTTGGGATTATATTTCAGAAGCCACAGCCCGGCTATATAAATGCAAAAGTAAGTGAACATGGTTTGCTATGTAACCTCACAGAATACACGTGCTCTGTAAAAAGAGAAAGGTCTAACCTGCACCACTTGCGTCAGCATTTAATAAACTGATTGATGCTGTTTTCAGACTTGCATTTCAGACATGATAGCTCTTGTGGGTGCTTTTAATATAAGTATATAGAAATTCTTGGACAAAATTTGGGTGTCAAGTTGAGCGCTTTTCATCCTGAACATTTTATACCCGATGTGGAATTCAATTGTCACTCCATTTAGAATGTGATAAACTATTTGGAATTGTCTACAGAAATTTACTTTAAATATTCAGAGTGTTAGCTAACCGTTAAAAAAACCTACTTTTAGTTTCCGAAGTTTTCTTAAGTTATATTTCCAATGGACAATATTTATGCGATATCAAAATCCGCGGTGAAGTCCATGCTAACATATTATATTATACAAAAAAGGAAACACAGATCCTTAGAAAATATGGCTCGCTAACGGGGAGGTCTCGGGTTCGCTCTCAACGTTGAACGAGAAAGTTACTCGGGATTTCCCGGCGCGGTTTCCCATTCAGTGGCACAGAACGGAGGTCCCGTGTAAATTTTGACGTGTATGTAAAGAACCCTTCACCATTAGAATTTAAAATAAGGTTAAACTGCAGTACCACTGTCTGGTTTTAATCTCCCTCGTAGCACACTGTATGGTGTATGTCCATTCGGTGCAGCAAAGTATGATGTTAAACCCCATTTCATTTCTAAATATTAGATATTGTCTAAATACCAATGGTCACACCCCGTTATCATCGACACCCTTAACAATGTGCTTGCATTTCAACTTTTCGTGTACAAAAATAAACTAAACTTCCGGTGGAAAACGATACAATACTTAGAATTTTATAGTATGAACCGAATTTTCGCTTTGAAAGGTGAATTGGCGACGCTCTTTTACATCCACCCTCCCTAATTAACCGCCGTTCTTGGAATGTGACAATATATATTTACCAAATATTTTTTTTCTTTTTTTTTTAGTTTTCTGGACTAATACTTAACTAACTTTCTACTGAATATATTAGATATTTAAATTCTTTAACAACATTTCTTAACCAAAACAGAGTTCCGAAACGGATGTCGCAAGCGAGTATATGCATACTCCTTCTGGTACTACAAGTTACTTCCTTGTCGCGAGGTGCAATTTAATTAGCTATTGACTGATGGTTTAGAATGTCGACAGTTCATTGGAAAGACATATGGTAGAATGCAATTTTAATATCCTCTTATTTTTAAATATTGTCATTTGGGAAATTCATTTACAATACACTGTCGGATTTTTCCGTCTTCCTAATGAAGTATTTTACCTGATTGTCCCTTTAGATTAGGTTTCCTATTTCATAAATCAATTAGAAAACAGCTCTCGCGCTCTCTTCTTGGGCCCAAAAAAGATTTTGTAGCTTTTCTTGTTTGCCAATATATTATTTTACCTTGCTTCCCCGTAAACAATCAGCTTCTGCGCTCTGTTCTAAGT